GGTTGAAGTTGACTTGAGAGGCTCCACAAATGTGGAGCCGCAGAAAGAAAAAGCAACGATGGCCGCAGAGGCACAGTCTGCAGAGATTCAGCGCTTTCAGAAAATCTTTCACATCTATATCATCTATACAATCTCACTCAATCTCCATTTGCCTTCACTAGACCCCTTTCCGGATTGAGGCGATGGCAACGCGTGACTCCGTGATGCAGGCTGCCTCACAAGATGGTGAAGCGTCACTGGACAAGAAGGAGAAGAAGGAGAAGAAGAAAGAGAAAAAGGATCGAAAGGACAAAAAAGAGAAGGAGGACAAGCCCAAGAAGCCGAAGAAGGAGAAGCGGAAGATGGACGACCAGGACCTGAGATTGGCTGCCGTAGTCGCAGTAGTCGGCCTAGGCGTAGTTGTTCCATGTTCATCGCAGGCCGTGGTGGAAGTGCAACGTGGCTCAGACTCCAGTTCTGTGGAGAGCATGGCGCCGTCCCAAATGGCCGCTGGGGGGGGGGGCCATGTGGTATCAGTGAGATCCCACTATGCTTTGAAGTGATTTGGTTTGTAGTTTCTATCCGTTGTAAGGCACCTCCAACACATAATCACAAGCATTGGCCCCAGAGATTTGGTCATGTTGGGTGCATCGAGAGACAGCACCATCGCCATTTAGGACTCGCTTGTGCTCTCCATTCCTGGAGGGACGATGTCACAAAGGACTTTGCTTTGGGCACCTTGCTGACATTGCAGTTTGCGCCAGTTTGGCGCATTGCAGGAAGTTTATGTACCGCAGCTCACTCCCAAAGTGAGCTTCGAAAGCCGGGCGAGGCAAGGATGATCGGGTGAACCGACGAAAAGGAGATTGGCGCAGTCTTTTCACATCGCCGCGCAGTTTTGGCATGGTGCACCAATAGCCTGGGCTTCCCAGGCTGTGGCGGAGTATCGGGAGAAGCATCCACAGAGTGGACGCGTGAGCAAAGGTGCTGGAAAAGGCCTGAAAACGCAAGGGGAAGGGTCCAGATAGCCAGATCGCACAGTGAGGCTTTGGAGCAGGAGCTTTTCAGTAGTGATTTGCCAAGTTGGGCCTCATTGATCCGGAGTTTTTGATGATGGAGGCAGAGAAGAAGCACTACGCGCCCCACCAAGCAGGAGCTTGCCTCAGACTGGGAAGCTTAGCAGGTAGTTGCATGCAGCAGAGAGATGCATTGGGCCGTTGAAAGGATGCGTGCATGGCCGCAAGATGCTCCCGCCCTTGTCTCAGAATCCTCTCCTGCCCAAGTGAGAACAGTCTGTAAAATGCAAATTGTGGAGCTTCACAAGTCTCTGTAAATGGGACCCGGAGTCAGGGATTCAAATAAGCACCTAGACCTAGGGCTTGGAGAGCTTCATCAGCGGTCAGGTTCCGTCGTTTCACTTCAACACTATTCTGGGTTGAAGGCTCGCTCCAGGGCACCTGCACGTCCCATGGGAATTCCCATGGATCCAATGATGCAGCGCACTCAGCCATATGCGAATGGCACTGAGCCACTTTGGATCAGTCGTCAAGTTTTCCAGGATGGGCCACCCTGGCCCCATCATGGTCCTTCCACCTGAAATGATCCATATGCCAAGAGCTTAGCCGTTTGCCTTCAAAACTGTCAAGCGCATTCGTCGTTTTGATCCGCTTGATTCTATGACTTGGTTACTTGTGTGTGTGTGTGGCTTTTATGAGGCAAGTTCCTCAATTTCATCCTCAAGTGGCGATGATGATGGATCCGTATGGTTTCATGATGCCACAAGAAAGGCATCATCCAAAGAAAGAGAAAGACAGCAAGGACTCCGCTCAGGAACCTTTTAGCTTGACCCAGATGTACGGTGGGAGCCAGGAGAAAGAAAAGAAGAAAAAGGCTGGATGCATGAGCTAGGGGCCTTGAGTAGCTATTCTTGTAGGATCGTTGGCTTCGTTTGTGTAATTGGCATCGGCGCACTCTGTAAGCAAGCTGCATGCATGCAGTGTTGAAATTCCTGGAAGGAAACTGAGAGGGTCAAAGTCAAGCAAAAGGACTGCCGAGAAGTGATACTGTAACTTTAAGCAACATGTATGTCCTCCTTGCACGCTCTTATCTCGGTGTGCCAAGAGGACACGCCAGAAGTGAAGGTGAAGAAGGACAAGACGGCTCGACACAAGGCGCCAGCCCAGTGAGTTGATGGTAATCCTTTCAACGTTCCGCAGCCAGGAGAAAGTGCCGATTCAACAGGCAGGACTGGTTGGGCTGTCGTGCAGAAAACCCAAGTCCACCCACACAGGTCAAGAGGAAGGAGAGAAAAGTGGATGAAGAAGATTTGTAATCAAAGTCATCGCAGATCACCTCTTGCAGAAAAGTCCGGCTACTCTACAGCGGCACAGATGTGCCTTTGGAACTCTGATGCACGCCACAGTGTTCAACCACGAGTCAGCAAACATATGTGGACTGTTTTGCCTTGAATCTTGAGAGTTGAACACATTTGTGATGTTCGTAGCCATTCTTTTGCCTTAGATCTCCGGCGTCTTCTGTAGCCGCCATGGAGTTTTGCCGCAGCTTGCTGAGTCCCATGTGAACAGGGTCATGCAATCATCTCCAAGTAGATTCACGTCGCCTCGTCCCTAAACGTGTCTGGCAAGAACATGTTGGGTAGCTGAATCGCTCTACCACGTACTTGTAGAGTGCATGACTGCACTGCACACAAGGAGCACTTGGTGATATTTGCCAACAGCCTTGACTTGCTTTCATGTTGTCACAGCTCGACGATGCAATTTTGGACCCAAAGCTGGCCACTCACTTGATTCGGGCAGGGGCCGAGGAGACGTTTGCAAAGCCTTTCGCTAGCATCATTTGGATGCTTCGTGGTTTTCGAGCTGGCAGGTTGGAGCTGAATGTCTATCACTGCAGTGCAGCCATGACAGCTTTCCACAGGGCCGAGAGATGGATGGGGGCGCTTGACTTAATTTCTCGCTGTCGTTCATGGACAGTACAACCTGATGACTTTGTATTGGGCACTGCTATGCATGCATGCGAAAAGAGCGAGCCGCCTGAATGGGAAAAGGTTTTGACTTTATTGGATGTTGAAGGGTTGGGCTGGAGAGCGTTGACCACTGCCCAGGCAAATCCAGCAATCAGTAGTTCGTGTCAGGCCAAGAGATGGGACTTGGCTTGTGAAATTCTTTGGAGAGCCTCTTCCGCACGAGCAGTGGATAGGATTAGCCACAACTCTGCATTTTGCTTGGGAGTTGGCATGTGGCAAAGAGCACTGGGCTTGCTGGATGCAACACGCAGGCAAGTCGAGCCAGATTCAATTACAATTAATTCTGTGATCAACACATGTACAAGCAGAAGTTGGCCGGTAGCATGTGGACTTGTTGGAGACATGAGGTATCAGAGACTACCAGTGACCGAAATCACTTGTGGGGCTGCCCTTAAGGTTTGTCAGCAATGGACGAGAGCGTGCAGTTTCATGGAGTTCATGACACGCAGTGCATTGAAGATCAATGTGATCGTTGGGCACACGGTTTTGGCTGCCCTTACCCTTGGCAGCATATGGCGCTTCACTTTGCGCCAGGCCTTCAGGCTGCAAGAATGTGGCAATTTAGATTGCAAGGCCATCGTTGCCAGCATTGACAGTATGTCAAAGGCCTACCGCTGGGAATTGCCGTTGTCACTTTTCATGCTGCATAGAAGAGACTGTCCGCAGAACATGGGCTGTGTGCCATCAAACGCAGCTTTGGCTGCCTGTGGGCAAGGAAATGGATGGGATGTGGTCTTGAACTTGTTTGGTGGGATGGCAGCTCAGGCCTTGGTTCCCGATGAGATAACTTGGGGAACCTTAGTCAGCTGCTTGGAACAAGGAGCACGGTGGCAGTTTGCTCTCCACCTCCTGGCCTGTGACAGAGAGGGTTTGGCGAAAAGGTCTGAAATCTGCACCAACTCTGCTGCAAGTTGCTGTGAAAAGGCCTGTCATTGGCAGAGCACATTGTCACTTGTGCATTGCCTGCGGCATTTTCGAACCTTTCCTGGAAGCATCAGCTGTAATGTTTGCGTGTCGTCATGTCGCAATGTGGGCGCCTGGTGGTGGGCGGTGCAGGGCCTCGTGGACATGCACAGCCGGCAGCTGGTGACCGAAGTGTCTAGCAGCGAAGCAACGATTGCGGTAGCTCGAACTTCGAGATGGCTTTTGAGTTTGTCCCTGCTTGCGGGTCTTGCAGGTCTTGCCGGAGCAGATGGTGGAGCTGCCTGGGCTACCTGCATGGGTGCCGTGATTGAGTCGCCTCTTGCCCCAAAGCAACGCTTGCGATTCCTGGCTGATCTTGGTAGTTCAGCAATGATTTCCACGTCCCTACTGCGAAGCCAAATGCGCACCCTTGCCGCAGCGCGAGTTTGTCATGTATATATAGCTCAAAAGTTGACCGTCGTCAGCATGAATGCTTCCTGGCTCCATTCCTGACCTTTCCGCAGGCTCAAGGTAGATGGACGAAAGACTGGAGATTGAATTGGTGCAAGCTGCATTTTTTTGGTTCGAGCTTTACAAGTCTCAAGTGGAACAAAACACCCTGTACCGAATAGCCTTGCAGTGTTCTTGGAAGGCACCTCAGAACCAGTAGCAGCAGCAGCGGTGGTGGTGGCAGCAGCGGTGGTGGTGGCAGCAGTAGCAGTAGTAGCAGTAGTGGTAGGAGTAGGACTAGGAGTGGGAGTAGCAACAGTAGCCGGAGCACCAGCAGCAGCAGCAAGCAGTAGACATACACCAAGCAATACTGCAACTAAAAATTTACTCCCCTCTCTCTCTCTCTCCATTCTGGGTTGTCAAGTGAGGGGCTCCAAGCCTCCTTGCGATGTTCCCCTTTGATGCGACGACTCGCCCTTTGCACGTTAGGACTCGGGCAGGCCCAGTGGGTTTTGCCACTTGAGAGCCAAGACTGCCGCCGAGAGAGTGGTGACGAAGCCGTTGCAGACGGCACTGCGGCATTGACCGACCAACACTTAGCACCAGCCCACCAGTTCCAGCAATGGCAGCGCCACAAGGAGTGAAAATTACCGGTTTGTGCTTTGAGGCTGGGAATGCAGACCAAGCGGCCTGTTCCAAATACGCAATTGAGACATTTTTTTTGGTGTTTTTCATTATGTTTTTTGGATGCTGTTACAGCCTGAAGCTGGAATCTGTGCTGTGGGCAAATTTCAATTTGGAATCCAATCCAAGATCATTGAGGTACATTCACTGCAGCAGTAGCACAGTGGACGCACGAGCCAGAATTGCTGAACAATCTTGCAACTTCGTTGGCGGCACTGTCACAAGAGGTTGCCTTTGACGGTGATCCCCAGATGGGCCCTCAGAATGATCTCGGGTACATGCCAGGCATGGGACCAGAAGCCATTGTTTGGGTATTGCCCCTGTGCCAGTAGAAAGGACAGCTTAGGAACTGGAACGCTCCTGGGTTGCTTGGTGTTGTCGAAGAAAATTAAGGTCATTCGGTGCTCGAGCACTTTGCGAAGCCCAAGCAGCAGCTGAATTGGCGTTGGTCATGGGTCATGCACCTGCAGGTGCCCTTGTGCAAGCCATTGTAGAGTGACACTTCTGCGATTGGATGGGAAAGCCAAAAGCACAGTGGATCAAGCGGCCAAGATTCCAAGAAGCAGACCAAGGTAGTTTATAGGATCTTTGCAGTTCCTCTCCATCCCATGCATGTAGCTTGGTCATCCATTTGCTTTTGGCGATGTGCCCAAGGCTGCGACACCAAATGCAGCTCACCACCAGTGAGGTGCCGAGCACTGTTGCTGAAGCATTATCCCTGTGTGAAGGACGTGTCGACACGGATGGGCAGGCTGGAGCCACACCAAATGATACAACTTGGGTTTGAGTCGATTTGAGCGGTGTTTGACTTTGAGTTTGCTCACTCTATGGAGGGAGATCTTTTTTCGAGTTGCAATCCAGAGACGGTCACCCAGCAGCGCGATTCACGTCCAATTTCGGTATTGCGATTCGTGCTTGTGTCGTGAGTGTGATCCGGGACAACCTTGGTGATCTATTCATTTTGCCCCCTGGCCTGCCCTCTCAGCTCTTGGCCTTCACCGTGATTCGAGCATCGCGAACCTCCCTTGAATCTTCTTGGGATCACGTCTCGATTGGACAGCCAACTGGCTTGACTTGATTTGAAGTGCAGAAGTAATTGGCGTCCTCTACCACAGCTGAGGAGCATTTTTTCTTTGCATAGCGTCTAAGGCTAAGGCAGGTCGCCTCTAGTAAGATCACAAGAGCGCAACAGCTTTAGGAAAGACAGTTTTTCAGCGGTTGGGACTTTGGCGCGGGTACAGCCACATGGAAGAAATCGTATTGAATCTTGAGACTCTTTGGACATCCATTGGGATTGTAGACCTCGATTGTCAGAGTTAGCTTGCAGTTGGAAGTTCTGATGAAGCATTTGGGGTGAAGCCCTGGATGGAAAGGACCTCTATCAAATCGGAGCATATACAGATACCTTCAGTGGCCACCTCCAGACGTCGTTAGGTCGTTGTTGTTTGGCCTCGCCAAAATTCGGTAAAATACGCTAAGATACTCTTAGCACGAATCTGAAGACACCAGGAGGACAAGACGGCCAGAGGACAGCAGCCACGGGGTGGCCAGAGTGTTTATGCTAAGCTGCTAAGAGAGAACAACAGTAAACCGTTTGGGATAAATGTTGGTGCAAGACGAATTGATGTTGGACAAGTTGATGTGACCATGATGTGAACCCCTTACACCGACTTGTTCGGAAGGGCAACGACATGATACAGAAAATCGATGTGATTTCGGTTCACGGTTGTAGTTAGTTGTAGTTGTATCACGTCAGAGATGGTCGGATTCCGGATAACGGTGTAGACAATGTTATGACAAGAGTAGAGTCTAGCCAGGCCAGTAAGGATTCTTAAAACTCGTCAATCTTCATTTGCGGTGCCTGCGCAATTTGTTCTTCGCTCCCTACACACCAAGCCGCAGCAAGATATATAAACATGTCAGTGTGAGTGTCATTGAGGATTACCCTTCGAATGTGAAGTTCCTTGCAGGTTCCTTGGGTGCAGGAAACTGGCGAGTCACTGAGCTTGCATACAGATGTGGTATGCCGAGACGCTAAATCTTTGGAGCTTGCAGCGTCCGAGCGTGAGAGACGCCTGGGATATTGGCGACCATCTCAGCTACGCAGAGCCTTCTTATTGCGGAGGATTTGTGGTTTGTTGCTTGTACAGGATGTCTTTGACATCCAAGTTCTCGCCAATGTCTCGTCCGCCCTCCAGCACATCTCGCAACTTGAGACTGAGAGATCCCACAGGGTGGCAGAATCATCTCGCGTGGAGGCCTCGCGAGGTCACAAAAGACGTGAAGTGAAGGTGCCGCTCCAGCATCCTTTCACACACCAGGCAGGGGAATCCAAATCTTTGCAAGCTCCCATCTGCAGGCTATAGTTCTACTATAGAGTATAGACCTTGACACTGAACTTGTCCCCAAGCAAGAGCTCTATTCTATTGGTTCTTCTGGCAATGTCGCGTCCTTTTGGAGATTCTAAATCTATATATATATATACATATAAGTCATTGAAATTGCCTCTTTGTAGCAGATTGGATCCTTTTCAGTTCTTTTCATTGCCTTGGAGGACCTGCTGTCTCCGCCTCTACTCCGAAGCCTCGTGCAACTTCTTTTGGGGAATCGTATAGAGCTGGATACTTTCAGCTTTATTGAAAGCCGACCTGGCAGCACAGACCAGCCTTGGCACTTTGATGTTCCACTGCCAGACTTTGGGTTGAAAGGTGTTGCTCCATCAGCCACTGGACTGCAAGTCTGGCCTCGCAAGCATGCAAAGATAGATTGGTACACTTATTCACGCCGCTCCGCGGCATGGTCCGCCCGCACTGCCATAACAGTTGCCCAACAAAAACGGCGAAAACTGTCACCCAAACAGACTCGAAATCACAAAATCTGGCCACCGGGCCTCCCGACAATGTCTATATAGAGTTTATTTACATAGTTATATATATATATATATTACATTATGTCATATAACTATATATAGCTATGTATTGTGGAGCTTCGCATTTGCCAAAACACCGTTATTGACAGTTATTTCACACACCGGAAAGCAAAAGCCACTAGAACTAGCGAGGTTTTTGAGGTTGACGTTGCCAAAGGCGCCACTATGTACCGTATTTTGCAGTGTTTCTATGCTCTGTGAGGCAGAAACCACTGCAAGTAGCGATGTTGTTGAGCTTGCCGTGGCCCAAAGCACCGCTATTTACAGTGTTCTTGAACCTGCTGCCAAAAAGCACCGCAATTTGCGATGTTTTCAACAACACGGTTGCCAAAAGCATAGCCATATGTGAGGTTTTAACATTTTCGCTCAAAGACGTCGAGCCTCGGCAATGCACAAAAACACTGCCAAAACCAATGTTTCTGCCCAACAAAAACGGCGAAAGCCGTCACCCAAACAGCCTCGAAATCACAAAGTCTGGCCCCCCGGCCACCCGACAAGACACATGGAAAAAATACGTGTCTCAAAGCCGAGAATCGAAGACCAAAAGTGAACATAAATATCACAGTTTTTTTTTACTTTTCTCTTGCCGGTTCCGGGCGGGCGCGTGCACGAACTAGTCCATTCCGTGCCGTAAAAAAACGGTGTTTTTTGAAGTCCGCCGTCACGACCTATCAAAAACCAATTGTTTTGGCCAAAAAATGCCCTCCCCAGTAAACCTGTACCTTACAGTTGTTTATGCCATCCACTTAAAGTGGTGCGGAGCAGGCGCAACCATGAACTCAGCGCACAACGGACGCGTCCCTCTTTTCTCCTCAAGTTGGGATTGGGCCGCAATGGGCTTGAGCCAAATCAAGTGAAATGCCTACATGCACGAACGGAAAACAAAAGGATCAAGCGTGGTGGTCATGCATCCTTTGACTCACCCGCCTCCCCTCTTTGGAGCTTAAGCCGTTTCTTATAGGCTTTCTGTGTGCTCCTTTGTTGAGCTCGAACTTCCTGCCACGAATCATCCTCTACAATGGTCCATTGACCTGGCAGCATGATCGATTGCAAAACATTATTGCCTTTCAGCTTCGTTAAACAATCAGAGGCCTGTTGAGGGCCGGGGATCCACCGACAGAAGGATGTAGCTTCTGGATCGGCCAAACTTTCACGAAGTGCTCTGATATCCAGAGCTGTTCTCCGATCCTGAGGAAGTTCTTCACTCGATAAACAATCATATGCAACCTTGGCGTCGATGATCAGCAAAATGGGACAAAGTTTCACGTGTTCAAACCACCGACGCATCACAAAGGTGCTATCTCGCACTTCACACAAAATCGCTCTCAAAGACTCAGCATGCTCGTATCCGAGCGACGCGGCGGCAGCCTCTACAGCTGACGAGCTTCGAACTACTCTCTTGCATGAGGTGCTGCACCATTCAATGGGAGCAACTGCACATTCATTTCAGATTGAACCTTGGGATTTGCCAGCATCAAAAAGATCCCCAATTGGGATTTTCCCCGGGGCATGGCTGCTAGCGCTCCGTCAGTGGCCACGAGGACCATGATCTCCTTCAAGGAACAACCTAACCCTTTGATGTAAAAGCAAGTCTCTTGTCTCGCCTTTTGCACGGTCGAATTGGCAAGGCGAAGTGTGCTACCGGAAGCATCTACCAAATTCTGTTGCAGGAAAGACACAGCGAAGGCCAAGTCTGGTCGTCCTTGCTTAGCAAACCAACCAAGTTGTCCAACCAATGCTCTCAACTGCGAAGCCTGCTCTTGAGAGACTGGTGCATCGTCGGCCATCGCAGCATTGAACTCAATCTCATTCAAGGCCTGACAGTAAAGGTTCATGTCCACTGTCACTGTGTGTCGGTCGTCACTTTGACATATCACACGGCCAAGGAATTTTCCTCCTTCCTTCAGATCAGTCCAGCTGCCAAACTTGAGCCGAGTCTGGAGTGTTTTCCAGTCCTCTTCTACTTCATGGCTTCCAGCCAGCAACGCATCATCAACGTGCAAAGTCACCAGCCCAATCAACTCTCCACGACTGTTGTGCTTCAAGAACAAGCGAGGAACCAGTTTGGATTCGGAGAAACCAATGTCTTTGAGTGTTTCACGAAACTTCAGATACCACAAGCGAGGGCTCTCACTCAGTCCAAAGATTCCTTTGGTTGCCTCAAAGATGTCGCTCCGATTGTCTGGACCAAGCCTCCATTTGAGGTATTCAGCAATCTCTGGTGGCAACTCCAACCCCTGCAATAAGGCTGCGGTCACATCAGCAATCACTATCTTCCATCCTAAGGTCGTTGCAATGCGCAACAAAAGAGTGTGAACGACTGACAAGGCTGTTGGGCTGGCGGCATCATATTTGCCAAGATCTGGGTCACGATGTCCTCCTACACATAATCGACCCTTGGGCTCAAAGCCATTCAACAACTGTTTCTTGTTCACAATGACCATACGAGACCGAATCACACGCTCTTTGGGCACAATTCGCCCCATGGGAACGGCACGAATGGCCTCGTGGTCGAAGTGGATGGCTAAAGCTTTCACTAAGGCCGGTATGGTCAGCCTTACTTCCGCAGCAGTCATGTCCTTGACACAGATCTCATTACGAGCGCCAGATGGTGGTCCGTTGCTGTGACCACGCTCCAAACGACAAGTCTCCAGCTCTTTGTTCTTCAACTCCTCATCAAAGCCCTGTTCTAACAGAGCAAATCGAGCTTCACGAAGTTTGGCTTCTTGTCGAACACGATCTTCTTGATCGTGTTGTGACGTCTGATGAAGTGTCACTTCAAGCGTCCAGCAAGCATGGGCCCACTCCGGAGCCCAGGGCACCACTCCGGCTTCACACATCACTTCGAATGCAGCCGTCTCTGAAGAGGTCGATATTCTCCCTTCAAGGCTGGAAGGGCCAAGGATATCCTTCTTGCTCAACTTACCTGATTTCTCGATGTCACTGGCCTCTTGCAAGTCACGCTTCCGCTCTCGCTTCAGCATTGCATGGCCTTGATCTAGGGAGTCGAAGGCTGCGCGGATGTCGCTGTCCAACCTGGCACGCTTCAAGGCCGAGTCTTGCAAATCCCCCCAGTCAGCTAAACGCTCCCGAATCGTATCCCAAACATGTGCTTGCGCCCCCCCTTCAAAGAATTCTACTTTATGCTTTACTCTGGCATTTTGAAGACGAAATGGGTCCTGTGCACTACCCTCAGTCGAGGATGTGGGCATGGTAGAAGGCAGGCTTGGATCATGCGTGGGGTCAATGGCTGGCTTCTTGGGAGGTGGTCTATACCCATCAAGTCGGTAGGCTGCTTGCCTGGATCGTTCAAGCTGCTGCAACATTTCGGGACTCTGTTCCGCCTCCGGAAGGACATTGGATGGCACCGGACCAGTGGGTTCCGCGATCGATGCATGAGTATCATCTCGTGCAGGGCTCTGGTGTCACTGACGTTTCTGAAGGCATGTCTCCTACCACTGGTGCTGACATGTCATGACCGATTGGCGGACTAGCAACGCTAGCCTCGGGTTCAGGACTCCCTGACTCTTCTGCCAAGTCTTCATATCCGGACGGTCGCACGGCTCCAGTGAGCTCTTGCTGCATGTCAGACAGAACATCACAGATATACTTAGTATCTAAAGTTTCCTCAGGAGTTGCTAGTCTGACGTTTTCAAGAGCTACCCGGATCACACTCCCCTTATATCGAACCCACGCTTTATCGATACCCTCCGTGGCAGCGACCACGGCTGGACCTTGTTGTCCAGTGGCGTTGTCTTGCAAGCGGCGGTGCTGTCCCGGAGGCTTGTGGAAGTAGACAATGGTTCCTGGCGTCAACGAGAACAATTTGGGCGAGATCGGGAGTTGAGAGCTATCCTCAAACGCTCATGCGAGTCCAACCATTGAAAGGCTGACATGGCAGCACACCTCAACTGCTCCATCCGATTCACTTCCTCATCATGTGTGATGGCATGATTGGTGCTCATCCGCACCTCGCCATCTGCCACTTGTTGGACGAGGGCTGAGGGGACCACGACGTCTCGTCCCTGCACCACCTGCAAGGGTGACCGACCACACTTCCTAAGGAGACGGTTCTTTGCCTGACAACACATGGCAGTGGCTAACTTGAGTTCAGATTCCTTATTGAGACTTAGCTCATGGATGCTACGAAGAATCATGAGTTTCAGGATGGCTCCATGACGCTCACCCAACCCGGCTTTGAATTTGGCAGCAGTGGGAATCACATTGACCTTGATGTCGAACACACGACACATGGCTTCGAAAGTGCCTCGAAATTCACTGCCACCGTCCACAGCCACTTCAGCAGGCGGGCCATGGCACATGATCCAGCGCTCAAACAAAAGTTCAGCACTGACTGCACTGCTGGGGTTCTTAGAGCAAATGCCATATTGCAATGAACAGAAACCGTCAAGGATATGGGTGATGTTCCATCGCTGGCCGGAACAATCCAGGACAAAGAAACTGTCAAGTACACACTGCTCATTGAATCTACCAGGGGCTTTGGACGAGGCTTGCGGTGCTGACCGCGGTCCCGAGATCCTCTCACAAATGCTGCAACGAAGCAATTTGGCTCCTTCGATCACACTCTTATGCGCACCATTGATTTGAAGCATACGGGCTAATCGTTCATTACTGGGGTGACCAAAATGTCCATGCAACTTAGCCAATTGGTTACGAACTTCTCTGGGAAGACGCATTGCAACCCCACTGAAACGAACATACCCGTACCGAGACCCGATGCCCCCCAAGGTCACCCTTCCGCTGATCTTCCTCCTCCTGAAGACGTTTGAACTCCGTTCGAATGGCACACTCGGCCATGTCTTCAGGGTCTCCTATGACTTGATCTGGAGGGGGTTCCATTTCAACGGCGCATGCAAGGTGGCTGTCACATGGTTCATCGAAAGGCTCATGGGTGTCCCACCTCATGGTGCAAACATGGTTGATGGAACATGATTCACACACACACACATGCGATGCAATGAAGGCAACATGCAGTCGGTTGGTCGCTACATGCTTCACATGCTCGACTTTCGGCTGGGAGATCGGGATCATCAATCGAGCTAAACATGACCGGTGGGACACTTGGGTCAGAGTTTCCGCACAACGTTTTCTCGGCTGCTTCAACGATGTGCAAACACAGTTCCTTAGTCCACATGCCTGCCAACAATGAACGATTGACCCATTGTCCATGAACACATGTAGCACCTTCGATGACCTGATGATCAGTACGCTCATGCGTGCACTGGGCTTTTTCTTCTAGAAACGAAGCGAATCGAACCGAGTTGCAGTCAAGCACTGTTCGTTTTCTCATAGGCTTATGGTTTCCGGGATCTTTAACCCGAATGCACACTGATCTATCACGGCGCGATGCAGGTGTGGCCGACTCGTCATGATTTGGAGTTCAAGCGCCTTGCTCAACCAAGGCTGCTCGGTCAAACGTAACCCACCCTTGGAGGTTTGCAAGTCCCAGACTGCACGAGTGAACTCCCATGGATGAACGGACATGAGCCGTTTCCACACTACTACATCTTGGTCGTTGATCGCTTGCAGACTACTCCATGGGCCGCATGGAGGGCAAATCAAAACTAAGTCAGGACTCATGGCATCCAATTGCTGCAAAACACGGTCTTGTTCGTACTTAGAATTGAGATCATCCCCACACAACAAATCAACAGGTTCCAAGGCTATCCAATGGTCGGATTCTGAAGCAAACAAGGACACCGAAGTCCCAAACACTTCGAGCAAGCAAAATTTCCGATCAGGCTTCACTCGTGCCGCCTCTCTCAAAAGGGCTTGACCTTGCAAGGCGTATTGCACGCCTCTCTTCAGCCGCTGAGCTTGCCCTCTTTGGAATGCTCGAACACAGGAAGGGGCTCCTAGCGAAACATCACTGCTCCTTTCGGCTGACGGAGCGTCTTCACGCATGATCCGAAGTGGCCCCACATGGCCGCCAGCTCGGTCGCATACAAGCGGGCCAGCCAAGCCGGCTGTCGCTTCCATGGCAGGCGGCTCTGTTCCATGGCTTGCCTCATGCGCAGCTGAAGAAGGAAGACCTTCCACTTGTGTACTAGGATGCGCTGATGGGTGATCCACGAACAATTCATGGGAGGGTCCCATGACTTGGTGAGTCCCAGCATAGGGAAGTCGGCCAACTCTCCTGTGGTCGCTGCCTTCATGGCTGCTTTGTTCTTGGCTTTGGTTCCCTTGGCCGGAATCACAGCATCTTCGGTCACCTCCTCCGTCTCTGGCACTGATGATCGATGGCTCTTGGTCTTCGCCTTTGGTGCTGTCGTCCGACCTTTTGGTGTCTTGTGGCGGTGCATCGTTGAGGCCATTGATGCATCCTCCTCCCAAGCGTCCTCCTCCGGATTCGTCCATCCGGGCGAGAGAACTCCCGCCGCTCCCAGCTCTTCCTCCTCCTCCAATTGCACTGAACTGACCTCCGAGCCCCCGAAGTCTGGGCCCGAATGAATGGCATGCTCCTGAGGCCTGGCTTGAAGACGAGAGCTCGCGGCTGGCACGGCTGCACTCCGATTGCGTCGGCTCGCCATGTCGTGTACTTGGCGCACTATCACACAGCGGCAAGGGCTTGCCGTCTCAAGCGTGATTTGGACCCCTTGCCTACGGCGGTGCCTTGACGAATCTCAAACATGCGCACTTCATCACAATTGACCTTTGGCTGTTTATTTTGCTCAAAGACGAGTGTGTGCCACGACGGGTTTTTGGGAAAGAAATCGTTGATCCGAACCAAATAGTGGCCTTCTGGGGAAACACACAAGGCACATCTACGTTCTCCCAACCTCCTGATCTCACATGCATTGGACTCACAATCGATGCACATGCCTAATAGGTTACACACAGCCTTACTTAGCAAGGGTGGACATGGATAATCAATGACGTTGACAGCAAGAAGACCGGTGTGACCTTTGATTGCAATCTCAAGAAAGACCCGATAGCTCGAGAGACGACGGACCCCGTCTCCAAAGCGAAACCAATCGGAAGCCCTTTCTACTGACACATGCTTACCGAGTCGTTGACGAATGGCAATTTCCCGCTCCACCCATGCTGTCCCTGCTACTGATCGCACACAGCCGATGTCTAAAATCATGACTCCTTCATAATCAGTGCTCTTAGGGGGATGTGCTAGAAAAGTATCAGAGGACAAGTCGAACACAGTTTCGGCATTGTCTCCAAACCCGAATCCACCCTCAGCAGCAGCGACCATGTATGCACGAGCGGCATGCTGTGCTGGCTCCTTTCGGCCAATGTAACTTTCTAAAACTGCCGTCAATGCGGCATGCGAATGGATGGCGGGTGTGCCTTTGGCTGCCTGAGTCGATGCACCCTTAGACGCCGATGAGGCTGAGGCGGTCAGCGCTTCTGAGGCTGTCACTGCAGGCGGTGTCACCCGCTCTGAGGTCATCACATTGGCACCTGCCGAGGCACGAGCTTGGTTCTTGGGGCAAACGGCATCTCTGCTCCAGTGTCCATAGCCTCCGCATGCCCTGCATGGATTTTTGGCCATAAGCTCTTCGAGCCTTTTCTTGGCAGCATTGTCACCGCCAGCTGACTGCTCAGTTCGACGGTAGTATCCTCGAGCTTGACGGATGGCTTTGAGCCTGGCTTGACCTTGCTGCGCGGCCAAGAAGGCCTCATGCTCGGCTGCCGAGATCTCATCATCACCAGTGGCCGGAGGCTCTTCATCCCCCTCTTCCGCAGCGATGTCCTCGGACCCAACACCAGCTTCGTCCAACACATGAGTGCCATACGAACGACCGAACCGACCTCGTCCATGGCCAGTGGATGCCTGAGTGGAGCCACCTTGAGTGACATCCGGCTGCAGTTCTGGCAGAAGTGGCCGGTCAGAAAGGCCTCGTCCGATCGGTACAGTGCCTTGCAAAAAGGGCCCCATGCGGCGCAAGGCCGGATACACTGCTGAAGTGGAGAGTCTGTTCCCAGCTGCAGCCATCACCAAGACACGATCACGCTGGGTCAACTCGGAGTTGTCCAGCACGTAGCCTACCAAGAACCTTTCTCCCATGGCAAACTCAGCATCCTCTTCCAGCATGAGGTCTCTCTGAGCCTCTACGCGCATCAAAAAGGAATCCAAGCTCTCATGTGCTGCTCTTCGACATTGCAAGAACTCACGCTGTGCCCGTTCACCACGCTGCCCTGAAAGCTCCTGCACCAAGGATGACGATTCCAAAGTGCTGAAGATCAACGCCAGTCCTTCTGGCTTAGACACCTCATCCACAGACAGCTTGCGGGTCAGGATGGATGCACGGCCCTTCAAGACCGACAAGACCCGCGGGCCAATCACCTCAGATGGCAGCATACCGCCTTCTCCAGCGATCCACATCTGCACAGCCCGCTTCCACTCTTTGTAAGATTCGGTCGGCAGTGCTGCAAAGGAAGACGGATACGATGAAGGGATGCGGGGCTTGGCCTTGCTGGGTGCATTGGATGGCGCATTGGCCCCAGTCTTATCTTCCAGCCCTTCTTCATCACTGTTGCCGTTCATGCGGAAGTGCTCCCACGGGCCGGCTGGACATTCAGCCGCATCCATGGGTTCATTCAATTTGCCATCAGACTGCCACCAATCTGCCACCTGATCACCAAGCGTCTCCGCCTGTAGTTCTGCCTGCCCAGTGACACCATCGCTAGGATGCACATTGTGATGCTGTTCTTCATGGGCCACTGATGGCACGTGGTGTGCAGGCCTTGGCTCTTCATGCCAAGTGCTCCATGACCATGTCGTCCAAGGAGAAGAGGACCAGCGCCAAGAAGACCAGGAAGTAGCACTCCAAGGATCCGGATACCACTCATGCCAAGAATGCCAAGCATGGTCACGCTCAGAGTACGACCGCCAGTCCTGGTCGGCGGTCCAAGTCCATCCCCGTTCATGCCCTTCTCCATCCCGACCAGCGTCAACGTGAACATCCGCACCTTGTTGATGGCACCGGTCAGGTTCAGGAGAACTCAATGCAGGCGACGGTGACCCCTCCACCATCTCTACCATTTCATAAGAAGAAGACGTACCGCTTGCGGTGGACCGGCCTGGTCCCAGGCTCGCGGCTCCCAACTTTGAAGTACCCCTGGCCCTAGCAGCAGCTGCAACCCTAACGGTTTCAAGCCCACGATCCACCGACGGCTGCGGCGGCTGCCACCATGACTCCTCAGAGTCATCTACAAAACCAACTTTCTTTCGCCGTCGACGTGACGGCGGACTCAACGGGCGCCCTGACATAGCTCCCCACCACACGCACTGACCTGGATCGAGCTCAACAACAACGAAGCCTCGCAAGGCTCCGCTACCACTTAAAGTGGTGCGGAGCAGGCGCAACCATGAACTCAGCGCACAACGGACGCGTCCCTCTTTTCTCCTCAAGTTGGGATTGGGCCGCAATGGGCTTGAGCCAAATCAAGTGAAATGCCTACATGCACGAACGGAAAACAAAAGGATCAAGCGTGGTGGTCATGCATCCTTTGACTCATCCAGATGATCACGCCCTGGGCACCTTCGGTGCGGCGGATTTCAAGAGGAAGGGGCAATTTTCTTGCCGACCTTAGCACATCAAAGAGCCAGTAAGAGAGTAACCGTGCGGCAACCCAAAGGTTGGCCTTGTCAGTGTCGTGCCCTTGGTGAACGTCATGCCAACAAATGGGGCAACTGAGTTCTTGCCTGGGTCTCACTGCCAAGCAGCGGATCGGCGGTTCTGGATGGATGCAGAGACGAAATCTGTCTTGCGCTTGCAGCCATCCCTGACCGTTGGCAGCTTAGCCCTTTTTGATCTTGGCCTTCGCCACCGTGGCGCCGCCAATTCTGGCGACAGCAGCCGCACCATTTTGTACATGAGTTATGTGCACGAGTGGTTCCGGGATGCCATCAACTTCCCGGAACCTCAGTCGAGCGCTTGGCACAGCTGGACGCCCACCACGAAGCGTTTGCTGTCGCGATTGGATAGCCGGCGTTACCTGCAAGAACTGGAAACGAGGCTCGGGGTTGTCAGCCAAAGCACTGGCGAGGGTAGGCGTGATTTAGAGCTTTAGCCGTGGCCGTTTGAATATTACTATTGAACAGCTGGCCAGCATATGATATTGCGTGTCGCAGTGGTGGTCCAAAAGACGTCGCAGCTGCAGTAGAGGTGCCGTCCTTTTTTGACGCAGAAACGCACTTCAATCACTTGCTCCGACCGCTTCCACTCAAGCTGTAGGATCCCGGGGCCAAGTAGTGGAAATGGGAAATTCATGGTCCGGTAGTTCTGGCCAAGTTCGAGCCTTTCCATCCAAGGCAGACTTCACTGAAAGAAGGTCGAGCTCTGCTTTGTTGGACAAAGGTTTCGCAGCTTTGGAACGTGACTTTGAACTCTCACAGAGGGCAGTGGGGGCTGGAGGTTTCTCCCCACGTGGCTCTGATGAAGAGGGGATTGACGAAGTCGAGTCGCCCCAACTTTCTCCCCAGCATGCCACAGACACTTGGCAAGTGCTCTTGATATATATTTTGTTAAAACGTGTTTTCCAATTATGACCTGGCCTTTAAGTGCAAGCCAGCTGAAACGTTGAGGTTACGTGGGTGAATTATATAGTCAATTCAACATTCATGATCCAAAGAAGATGTTGTGTTCTGTAAGTTCAATGAGTTCATTGTAAGTTCTTGGTTTCGAGCAGCATGGGTTTGAGGAAGGCTCCATGGATTTGAGTCTCATTTGGATGGATGGCTCTTGCTTTCAACTGAAAGCATCAACCACGGCCACCTGTCAAGATGTGATCTCTATGCTCCATCGGCGTGGTGCGATCTCCCGAGGATGCCCTCGGTTGCTATTCGGGAAATCCTTGTTGGAAGGAAGCACTTGTTTAAAGGATGTGGGTGTGTCCTCTGGAAGTGAGCTTCAATTGGTGCTCTCACGGCCTACTTTGCAACTGAATGCCAGTGACAACAACTTGGGCCTCGATGGCGTGGAGGCTTTGATTGAAGGATTGCCAGGTCCGCTGCTGAAGGCCTCCTTGATGCGAGCAGGGCTTTTTGGAAGAGAAGGGGGGCAAGCAGTGGCTCGCCTGTTGAGAGCGTCACCTGGTTTGGAATTCCTAGACCTCAGTGGGAATAATGGCTTCGGAGCCTTATCTCTATGTGCCACGGGTATAGATTTGAAGGCTTTGGCGTCTGAGATTCGGACTTTCTATTCTTTGCGCTATTTGGTTCTGGCAGATTGTAATCTAGAAGGTGCACTTGGAGGACAAGAGCTTGCATGTTTGCTTTCTAAAGCTCCGAACTTGAAGAGCCTTGATCTTCACAGCAACAATAACTTGGGCTCCTCAGGTTTGCTAGCGCTTTCACGAGCTTTGCGACAGCCAACCCAGATCATTGAACTCACAGTCGAGGATACCGGCCTAGAAGAGGTGAAGGGTGGTCAGGCAGTAGCTGCCTTGCTCCATCAAATGCCACTCCTCAAGGGCTTAAACCTTTCCAACAATTTTTTGCTCTCTATCGGTCTTCAGGCTTTGGCTGAAAGCATGCCGTCTTTGTCCATCTCAAGACTTGCAGCTCGCAATCTGGGTTTGCCAATTAGCCTTTCTCCGGAGGAATGCGATATTTTCCAATGCTTTTTATCAAAGTGCCCTCAGCTCGAGTTTGTTGACACCGAGGGGCATAACTTTGATGGCCCAGAGCTTGGGTGCATGAATCTGCTCAGGCCTGATGTCTCAGAACCAGAGCCTATGGACCTTATCCAACAAATAGAAGGAGAGGGTCCACTGTCTGCCCTCTTGAAAGGACACACTCTGGAGCTCAGCAAACTTCGGTCTTTCTGCCCAAATCACAGTTTGCAAGGAGCTGAAGTGGTAAAGGTGCTAAACATGATGCGAAGCCTCGAGCACTTGAGCGTCAATGGTTCTGGCCTTGCTTTGGAGGTTTTGCTTGAAAGCTTGAGACAATCCAGCTTGAATGCCTTGAGGTTTGTTGACTTAGGCGACTGTGGCCTGACATCTGCTGCCGGTCGTCAGGTGTCGGAGCTGCTACAGGGCCTGCCGCAGCTTCGTGGCCTGTCTTTGGCCAAGAACGGCCGACTTGAAAATGGGGGCGTGCAGAGCTTCGGAGCGACCCTCGGCGCACACTCTTTGAGCGAAATAGACCTGAGCTGTTGCTCGATTGCTGGGGAGGAAGGTGCAGAGGCCATCTTCAACATCTTTCAACAGCTTCCGGATTTGCAGTCATGCTCACTTTCAAGTAATCCTGGTTTGGGCTCGGAGATCGCCAAGCTCCTTGAGCACATCCTGTGTCGGACGAGGATCTCGTCGGTGAGTTTTGCAAGTTGTGGAGTTTCCAGCGGGGGTTTGGCTTTGAAGCTTGAGGGTCAGAGATGCCTTCACTTGACTTCACTGAACATGAGCGGAAATACAGAGATAGGCCCAGTAGGCTTGCAAAGTTTCACTTCCCAGTTGCCCAATTTGAATTTGAGTCAAGTGGACTTGGCTGATTGTGGCCTAGAGTCGGGGGCAGGTGGGAATGCAATCGCCTCCCTTTTGACCAGATGCCATTGCATCTACCGCGAGCCATGAGATAGTCAGATAGTCCAGCTGAATTTGGTGAATCATCTACTGTAATATTCTCCTACCAAACTGCTCACACCTTAGCAAAAAGGAAGACCCCACCATCTATATAGAGACAGCTGGATGAAAGAAACGGAGAACGCGCTTGTCCAGTTTTGTCCATTGTTTTAGTGTGCCATTTGCATGTCGCATGTCTCCTGCCCAGGCTTTCATGCTCGAGTCTAGCCTTTGAGGATGTAGGGAAAGAGAGATGAAGACCGTTAGCTAGCCTTGAAGCCATGCGAGATGGTCGCTCTGGCCAAGCACGACCTCAAAGTCAGCGGAATGGCAGCGCACCGCGGAATGGCAGTGTGCCAAGGAAAGCGCCCGCCGTGCCGCGACCGCCATCCCGAGTTGATGCCCAAGTCTCACCATCCGAGAGACCATCACCTGACCATGTGTACAATGTGAGCAATGCCAAGGATGCACAAAATGCTATGGCCATGGCCAGACGTCAGATTGCGTCACGAGGACCTTTGAGTACAGCAGGTGCCAATGTTGGTGCGAGGCCGGCTCGAGCCTCTTCGAGTGGACCCAGTGCCGGCCGGGCACCACGGCAAGGGAGTGTGGAAGTGACCAGAACTCCTGTCTTCGCCTACTTGAAGGTGCAGCAGGGTGTGTTTTTGTGGTTTCAGATGGTTTCAGTGTGCTTTCTAAGCTGCCAGATTTTCCAAATCATCTCTAGTCGATTTTTTGAATCAGCCCTTCCAAATGAGGTGTATGGACTGAATCAATATGCGCGGGCTTTTGCAGCTGCTGGCTTGGGTGAGTTGGATGCCATCAGCAAGCTTTCGGAGACTGAGGCCTTGGATTTCCTAGAACATCTCAGGATCTATCCAGGTCACAAACTTCGGCTTCTGCGAGCTGTCGAATGCTTGCGGCACGCTTCTTCAGAGAAGCGCGATGCGGCACAGATGCTGGAGGATGATGCGGCCTTACAGAGGCTATGCTCACAAAAGGAGAGCCTTTCCAAAGAGAAAGCAGAAGCTGAAAATGAAAGTAAGCGTTGCCAGGAAGAGAATCGTCGATTGTTGGAGTTGGTGCGCGAACAGAGTGCTCAGCTACAAAAAGAACGAGATCGAGTCATGGAGTTAGAGGACTTGGTGCGGGGACAAACTGAGCAGGTGCAGTTTCTGGCCAGTCAATTGCATGCTTTGGTCCAGGCTGGAGGACAAGAGAAAGTTACAGAGCTCTTCGAGTCCTTCAGGAGAAACGGGGAAAGCAAGGAAAGCCAGGGTGATTTCATTTTGATCGAGCCAGCGGAGCATTTAGCTAAAGTGCCACGAGCTCGTTCCAATTCAGATTCAGCCCTTGAAAGTCCGTCTTCGAGCCCTGGGACAGTTGGCTCGTATGGAGCTCTTGAGGGGTATGGTCCACGCCAGCCTTTTGTTCATGACTCAGTCGGCCAAAGCGCCCGGTCCAAGCTGGCAAAGTCAATGGAAATTCCTTCTAATGTCGAAGTTGATAATTTGACGAAATGCTTGGCCACCGCCCTACACAACAAGATCATTTTGTCAGTTGGCAGGCCGAGACCACACAATGCCTCAATTGAAAGTTTAGCCGCGTGTTCTATTTTCTTGGAGCCAGTTTGCAAGGAGATCCTGGAACGACAGGGGCGAGAGAGGGAGAACGCAATTCCCGTTGGAAGTGATATGGCTTCCCTAGGGACGCCGCTGTCCTCTTTATGTTCTCCGCTGGGCTCCAAAGCATCTGACCTAAGGGACTCACAGAATCCGGATCGTCCCTGCCATCCATTCAATGCAATAGCAATTAGAAGAATTCCCAACAAGTGGGACATCTATGACTTTTTGGAGCTTGTAATTCGCTGCCTGGAAGTTCATGCAGAGGTGAGTGTTGTCACACTGGTGTATTTGGAACGCTTTTGCGGGATGAGTGGTGTTGCCTTCACCCCGGACAACTGGCAACGGCTAACGATTACGGCAATGATGCTGGCTTCGAAGGTTTGGTATGATGAGTCCTATGAAAACATTGATTTTGCCGAGAGATTTGACCTGTACACGCTGAACGAGATCAACACATTTGAGCGCATTTTCCTCAAGTGCGTCTCATATGATATGTCTGTCAAGACGGTTCAATATGCTGAAACCTATTTCTTTTTGAGAACTCTTGGCGCAAAGGATTCTCCTGAATTTACTCTCCAACCTTTGGACGATCTTGGCGCATTACGTTTACAGGAACGTTGTCTCGCCAAACAAATTGAATTCAAAAAACGTTATACAGGAGATGATGACTTCTCAGTGACCACAGCTTTTTGAGCTCAAAAATGGCCGCACATAATAATATATTAATTATATAAATCTTATATAAGAATTATTGTATGGAATACGTAATGTGTATTTTACAATGAGCTAGTGACACTTGGTGGGAGGCGGATCGTCTTATACCCTCGAACCAATTTTGGTTCAAGGATGTGAGACTAGGGCGTTTATTCGGGTGTGGTATGTCGATCGCCCTGCAATTGTTTGTCGCCTTTCATTGATTTCTCTTAATTTTTGTGGGTGTTAATCTCACCTTGCACATTTGTTGCTCTGACGATCGTTTGTGGGGCTGTTTTTATTTCCTTGATTACATAAGCCCGTGATTTAGAAACTTTCGAATCCTCGAATATGGATTCTAATGAAATTATTACCCGAGAATTGGACTATGTCGCCTAATGGAATGGCCTTTCTTTCGCTTGTTGGATATTACCGGGGATGAACCTCCCTATATTTTAGGAATCATTCTAGTAATTGATATGATTTCGATTTTAAATCGATGGGTTATTCTGGATCCGGTACTATAAATTTCTACATATGCATCTACAATGCTCTAGGCCGGTTAGGCTGGATTATTTACTTGGAAATAATGGGGAAGGAACGGATATTGAATGGATTAAATATCCTTGATCCAAAATATAAATATTTGTATATATATTTATAAATTTGATTGATTTTTGGTTTTCTAGATTCGAAGAAACATAATAGGAATATAATATAAAATTAATAGGAAAGGAATATACATATATATTAAAATGAAAAGGAAATTAAGGAATACATTAATATTATGAAGAATAGGTATATTAAATAAATATGCATATATCATAAATAAAAATATATAAAATAAAATTAAAAGAAAATAATGGAAGGAAATGGGAATTAATTACTTTTATCAATTAATATATAATAAGGGAGAAATATAAAATAACAAATAAATTATGAATATATTGATCGAATATTTCCCAACATATATAATGCCAAGGAGGTATATGAAAAGGAAGGCTAATATTATGTAATTATTGAATAATTTAATTTAATGGGAATTTAATGTGAAATTCTAGGAAATTTAATGGCAAATTTTGATCCTTGAAATATGGATTTGCCGAACAATATTTATATCTAAATATATCAAAATTAATATTTGCAACATATTTGGAATATTTTATAATAGATTTAATATTAAAAAGACAGATTCAATATTAAACGAGGGGAATTAGACAGATAACTATAATTACAATCAGACGCGGAGGCCCTGTCCACGAGCTTTTTTGGAGGGAGATGAGGAAAATGAATATATTCTTCGAATATTTCATAATTATTCTTTTATTTTACCTTCTTTATTTATTTTAATTCTTATGATAATTATCATCGATTATAATACGAATAACGAGGAATATAGAATAATATTTTAGAATAGATATAATATTGAGGAGGTGCATGAAAAGGAAGGGAAAATGGATAGATTAGAATATGGAAAGGATATGGATGGAACATGCTAATTTGGGGGTTTTGAATTGATCCCGAATAATTATAGGGGAGCAAGGAGATGTCTGAAAAGGAAGAGAAGGGAAGGATAATAGGTTACGGTTAAAAAACAACCGAAATCCAAATAAAAAGATTATTACACAATTAATTTTTTGAATATTCTTTATACATTTAAATTGATTCTAAGGAGGTATTTATGAAAATCTTCAAATTTTTCATTTATCTGAATATAATATCTAGGTCTAGATGCAACACTATTAAATTAGGATATTTATATATATATTGTTAGGATATATTTATTGAAATTTTAAATTATCTCCAATTTAATTCAATTATCTATATATTCATTTCTTGAAATATGGAAGTGCCGATTAATATCTAGAATTAATTACATCTAAACAAATTCATTTTTTTTTTTTTTTTTTTCATTTCACTTCCGGCCAATGTATTATTGGCCCGTGTTGGGCAGCGCTACGAAAGCGGATGCATCGAGTGCATCAGAAGCCCCGGAAGTCGGTGCAGCCTGAGTACGACGAGGTTCAACGAAAAGTGTCTTCGAGAAGTTGGGTCCATGGATCTTCATCTTCGGCCAATTTGGGAAATGGCCGGCGCCAAAACTTCGCAAGCCCCAGTTGAGGCACAAGCCAAATCAGATAGCAATCTTTCTGCATGGCGGGGTGCAAACAACTCAGCCAGGGCAAACGATCATCATCGGTCATCCAAAGGTTTCCACTTGTCAACAAGCAGGACTGATAGTGTCCTGAATGAGGTCCCTCGCCCAAGTGCAAGGTCAGGCTCACAATACGATACTCAGCCCAGTACACATCAAGGCCGGAGGTTCGTGCAAAAATCGGAATCTGGACACAGGACCTAGGAAAATCAACATTCATGCGATTCTTGGTGTGCAAGTCGGGGAAGTGCTCAATCTGAAGACAAATGTTGGGGTGCTCCGATAAATACGCATTGGTGTATGGTGCTTGCTGGTGCCATGCATGAATCATGTTTTGCAATGAACACGTCTTTTGGTCAGGGCAGCGGAGCAAGATCGGTGCAATCAATGCGCCACCGTCATCATGACCAATGGTCAACCTACTTTGCCATCCAGTGGCCTGGCGTCCCCAAGGGCTGTGTTGCATGAACTGTTCACGCAACCAACCACTATATTCAGCAGCATCCTGCTGAGTTCCCCATGAATGAACATTCAACCAAGGACCATGCAGTGTACGAAAAGGCTCATCAACCACAAGGTCAGCCAACTGCCATCCAGCATCTGTCAAAAAAGACAAAAGATGCGGACCCCATGCACCCCACTCAGCGGGGGTAAAGCTGTCATGTGCGGCCATCGACCACAGCTGACTCAACATGACACTGTTGAGGTAGCACGCATTGCCGCTGTTGCTAAAGGCATGTGTCAACAAGCTGCGAGCTACGTTCTCACCTGTCTTGCAATGGCCTGAGCCAGCGGGGATCGCTGGAGGGAGGTAGTACGAATCCTCAAAAGCACCATCTGTCCCATGCCGTTCCCGCATAGGGCCAGCAACGCACCAAACATCTGGTGAGATTCCGGGCTGCGCAGGGAAATGTCCAGTCGCCACGGGATCACCAATTGACTGTCTTCCTGAATCCCTTCTTGGTTCATGGGTTTCATCGGAGCAAATTTGTGGATCAACTCGGTGTTGGCTCCAAGGCGTGTCAACAAGGCCAGGATCTCCCGGACGCGAGCAAAAGAAAGTGGCTCCTGCTTGGTGGGTCTCAGACATTTGGCCTGCTGGTCCCACGACATGTAGTTCCATTCGTTTTGGGCATTCAAAATCTGTTTGCTCCGAAGATTGGTGCAAAGTGCGTCGGCGCTGTCTTCGACATTGAGCCGGCCAATGCGTTGCACTAGCTCCTCCACCACTTTCAAGAAAAGCACCTGCCGCAGAGGGCAGGTCACACCAGCCTGCTGCTTCTGAGTGTGCCATTCTTTTGAGGCCGTGAGCATGGTGGGAAGTATGGATCCCTTGCCGGCTTGGAGAAAGAGAAGGAAATTGCGGTCCAAGCACATGGCATTGAGCATGTCTTCCTGTCTCAAACAAAGTTTCGCCAGCATCTGAACTAGCGAAGCATCCGGTTCTGACTTCCTGGATGAGTCCGAGAAGTTGGATCGATTTTTCGATCTGCCCTTGCCAGTCTGGGTGGAAGACTCTGAGTCGGCCGTTCGAGGCCGTTTCACATGGGTGCCGAGAGCCTCGACCAAATCGTGAAAGGACATGTCGTCGTTGGACATATGTTCGGCCATCCCGACTACCAGCTATGGTGAGAAACAGGTCACGGGCTAACGCGTGTTCGAGCTCCATCAGAACATGGTGCAATGTCAACTGTTGGTGTGAATATGTGTCAATCACAACGTGCTGTGGGGTCCACCAGGAGTCCATGCTATTTGAGTGCCAGGCCCATCGGAAAGGCACAAGCGCGGTGATCCATGCCACCGTCCGGAAAAGCATGTCAGAGGTCAACAATACCTGAGGCAGTTGGCGGAAGTGAGAAACCCATCTGGTTGTCTGTGCATATCAGTGAAGACGTACTTCCGGAACAAGTGCAATCGAATGATACAGTGGCATGGGGACGTGATGAATCATGTCCATGCAATCCGGTGTGTGGCCTGTGGATCTGATGCCCAATGTCCATGAAACCGCGTTTGATGCCCATCTTGGCAAAGGTGTGGCATCGGGCACTTCAAGCGGGACAGAAGGACCATAGTGTTGGTCGTGGATCCATTGAATGACAAGCTGTGGGCATGTTCCCCTGCTAAAATGATTTTGCAAGGCAAACGGCATCGTGAACGAAGCTCTGCAATGGGTGCAGCTCAACCGGCCCGGCATCATGTCACGGCTGGGCCTAAAGGGAAATGACTCCGGCTTGTCAACCTGATGCGTCAGGCGGACATGTTGGGCCAGACCTTTTCGTCCAATCACTTCTAGACACAAAGGGCAGGTGAACTCAGACAGTGGGACTGGAATCTCGGTGGTTGCAATCTCAGCCAAACGGGTCTGGATTGTATCTTTACCTGGAGGTCGGCCACGCTTGGGTTGCCTAGCCGTTTGGGCAGGGGTCGACCCGGGAGAATGATGTACTTCTTGATGTTGGGTCAGGCCTTGGGGGGACAAGAACACTGCCGGACATTGGGTGCACTTGAAGATCGTGCAATTAGGATATTTATATATACTGTTAGGATATATTTATTGAAATTTTAAATTATCTCCAATTTAATTCAATTATCTATATATTCATTCCTTGAAATATGGAAGTGCCGATTAATATCTAGAATTAATTACATCTAAACAAATAAACTATTTGATTTTATAGGCTATCCAAATTTATACTAGAAAATCATTAATCATTGCCAAGAACCAATATCTCGGGAAAATTGCAATCGGGCATTCTAAAATTTAACATATTTTAACATTTTTGTTTCTAATGACGATATTTTACAATTCTAGATTTCACGGGGTGAATATATACCAAATATATCAAAAGAATTTATGAATACTTGAACTTGATATCTTAAAATAGATTCAATGCAAATTTGATTTAAAAACATAAAGGAAAATAAAGAGATATAAATATCGAAAATCAGGGGAAACAGGCTGTAAAGAATTCAATATATTGGATCAGAATATGGAAGTTGGTAGAACAGGGCAAAGGAAAAGAAATGGAAATTAATGGGAATGGAATATATATCAATATGGAAAAAATAATATTCTAATTCCATCAAATGAAAATGCAATTAGGTGCGTAGGTCCTGTGCACGAATTCTTTTGGAAGGGAAATGAAGATCATAATAATGAAATAATAAATATATTATTGAATGCTACATAATAGATATAATATCAAGGAGGTATAAGAAAAGGAAAGGAAATGGATAAAATATAAGGAATAGATAGGGAAGAATACGGGAAGGATATAGATGGGAAGGAATGAAAATGAACGGAATTTTAAGGAATTCTGATAATAAGGCAATGATATATTTAGAATGATCTACAACAGATATAGAGCGCTAAAGAAGGATATGAGATTGCGGTTAGAAAAATAATAAAGGCAAAATAAATAATTGCGTTAGGCGTCTCGCATTTAAGATTTAGACAAATTTTTATATATTAGCGCAAATTTCAAAAACTAGATATTAATATATACTTCGTCTTTTCCTAATTAATTCATATATATATATATATTCCCCGATGAAAATAATATCCAGGACTAGGGGGGAACATAATTAGATCGATTCTTTTGCATTTTATTCAATTTTAAAACATCATATATATATATATATTTATTTTATCTTTCTAGAAAAAGAAATTTTAATTTACTATTTAATTGCATTGAATTCTTGATACTATTATGATATTATTACGATATATTATTACGAAATAACTATAACATACTAGCGCCCCATACTACTACGATATTACCACGATCTTTTATTATTATTCTTACTACTACTAATGCTACTATGAATATTATTACTATTACTACTATTAAATCTACAACAACAACTACGACGACGACTACTACTACCACCACTACGACTACTACCACGACTATTATACCACGACTACTATACTGCGACTACTGCCATTGTACTACGATAATCATGACCACTAGTGCTATTTATATCACTTGCAGCAACACTACCACCACCCAAGCTCCATTATACTGCAACAAGACCAGCGCCGAAGCTCCCAAATACAAATATATATATATATATAAATATCGCAGAATATGACGATAATATAGTCACCAGATAGAATCATTGCATTCAAATTGTCGTGCCTTTTTCGTTCGTATTTCATAATATTCCTCAAAACGTCGCATGGGTCCAAGGAAATATATAAACGAAATCAAAAAAGGCGCACAACGCCACCGGCCCCAAGCCCCCACAGCAAAGGACATTTAATAACAAGACCCTATAATAACACCAACCTCCAAATTCCCTTGCCAAAAACAAATTATGGTTGCACTAAAACTATAATTTCAAAGCACACAACAGCGGCAACTAAGAAAGACCAACCGCGACAATCAATATTTTCAATAAAATAACATTATGTTCCTTCCGGCGGAATCGAACATTAAATTTTTGAAAATATACATTATTAAATATAATATATAAATTTTAAATAATTCTATTTGCAAAATTATTTAATGTAAATAATTATATTATTGAATCTTATATATATTTGTTAAATCTATATATCGTAAAATATAATAATAAATAATCGATTTCAATTTTTATCATCCATAATATCTTATAGAAAAATTTATATAACAACAAAATTGCGACAACCTAACGAACCCCAATATAAAATAATCAAAATACATATAATAACGATCCCCTACGTCCCAAACTCCAATCCACATACCACCAATCATATAATATCCTTATCCAAATTCCCAATTAAACAATATCATCGTCCAAACTTTCAAATACATGATATCCCCAACGCAAACTACAATAATCCTAATATATATTTTTCAAAAAAACTCAATATTCGAAAATAAATCAATATCAAATATCGAAAATATATCTCTTTCTACATTTAAAATACATCCAAATTACCTATATCATCTGCGAAAAAAACACAACAAACATTATATAATATAATATTATATATATGTTTCTATTAAATTCTCGATTTATATATTCGAAATTATAAAACAATCAATCAAAATCAATATTTATTCTATTTCATTTCATTTCATCTGTCGGTAACCTGCTCTGGTTGCCCGTGTTAGGCTACGGCGGGACGAATCCAGGCCGGACACTTCACGAGTGTCATAGCACCAGTGCTCGAAAGGACTTCTCATGTGAATTTATCACTGAATAATTCATCAAAACTCTTTGGCTTCGGTCGGCTCCATTGACGACTTGTAAACTTCTTTGGAATGACCCAGATGAGGTAAATGGAAGCGGCAATCTCTGCATCAACACCCAATAGAAGAGCCGAACGAAAATCATTACATGACATAACGGTGCCACTGTGCCAAAGGATGCCACGATAGTGGCCTTCGGACATTGGCCAAATAAATGATGCCAATCGTCACAATAAAATCATATCATTTCCACATGGATACCTCGGTGATCACTAAAGACCGGAAGCTACAAGGGCGTGCAACGATCCCGAACAACCAAATAACTGCTTTACCGGTCTATACATGGATCCATAACAATGCCTGCATGCTCAACAAACATGCTCAAAAATTGCTTCTCCTATATTTCCCAAATAGCCGTGTTAAAGGTCAAGAATGGCCGTGTTAAAGATCAAATTAATTGCGCAATTTTTCTTATTTATGCCAAGAATATATTATATTAACACGTATTTCCTAAGCCTCCCAACTTAGTGTCAAAAATAGCGATCGCGATTTCTTCAATCATTAAGAAATTGCATCGACGAAAGATAATCAGTAAAACTTAATTAATTAAATTCGTCATTAGCTAAAAACTTCAAAAATACCGAGAATATTTTCATATTTAAAAAATAATAAAATATAATAAAAACAATATTATAAAATAAATATTATTTACCTTAATAAAAAAAATTATAAATAAATATATTAAATAAAACAATAATTAAATTATAATATTTAAGCCTAATTAAACATAAACATTAATATATTATTTATAATATTAAATGTATTTTATTATTCGACGCAAATAAATTCGGTTATTTCTATACATCGTAATTCTTTTAAAGAAATTTAATTCTTATTAAAATAAATAATTTATTTTAAATAACAATTATTAATATTTTATAAATTCTTAACTATAAAATCAATTATTTAAAATATTATATTTTAAAATGCTTCGACGACCATATTTTAATTTATGTTTTTTAAATTAAACATATATTTTTATATTACTATACATATAATTTCATCGAAATAATCGAATATTATAAAAAAAATACATTCAATATTATCGAATATTAATAATTCAATTTACATATTTTATTTTCAAATTATATATTAAAAGATAATTCAATTTATTGTAATTTAATAATATAATTAAATAATATTACAATAACAACAATAATAGATATATTTTCTTTTGATATTTAACTAGAATCTTCATCCTCGTATCAAGTAAACTACGATCAATACTCCATGTCTGCTCTCAAGCTTGACGTGACGAACATGTCTTTGCAATTCGACACCCTTTCTTCTGCTCAACAACTCTTGAATGTAGTTACATATAGTTTCATGTAATTTCTCACAGTGAATGATAAACCCCTCGGACCTCACGAGGATCGCGGCCGAGTCTGGCCTGAAAAACGTGTAATTGAAGCTTTGGCATTGCAGCTGGAACACCGGAAACTTCCGAGCAATCTTCGGACGAAAGTTTAATGCTTTGCAAATCAAACTTTTTTACTATTATCTCTGCATCGCATGATGCTGCATGCCTCTAGTCTGGGTGCTTCGTGAGAGTCATCGGGGCGTGTAAGCTTGTCATACATGACCTCGGCTATCTCTCATCGTTGGCCCTCAAAACAAGCCACAACGATTCATTCTTAGTCGACGGTTCCTTTGCAGCTTTGGACAAAGCGGCTCCGTATAGTGCCATAGTGGTCTCATCAGCTGCCCTGCAATTTTGACACTCCGACTTTGTTGATAGACTGAACGACCGTGACATGAATCGCAGTGGAGCTTGAACTGACTTATGGATGATTTCATGCTGAATAGCATCTTCTGCCCACCTCATCATATCGCATCTAGCGTACTGACTACTCTGAGTATCCTGTACCGTTGCACGTCTCTGCCTCTTTACAGTCTCATCCATCCCAGGCCCATGGAGGTGATCCTTCACATCGTTCTTTCGAGAAACATGCTGTTGAGATGTGTTGAACTTGGGCAGTTGAATTGTCTTGATTTTGCTGCTGCAGTTTTGTGGCTGGTGCTGGCTTTGGATTTCTAGAAAGGTTTGGCAAGTGTTAACTAAAAAGTACCAACGAGAATCTCCTGCCTGCAGTGCTCGAATCATCTCCTTTAATCCCTTCTCGTTGGGTGCGAAGCCAAACCTGGCAACTGCGAAGTCATGAGTTCTGCATGGGCAAGCTACCTCAAACAAAGGCCCGACACCCCACTGTCAGGATCGCTGAGACTGGGGCGCTTCTAACACAGGCTTCTGCAAAGGCAAAGCCTCCAAAGAATTTTCTGCTATCTGCCAATATTTTACGGTATATATTTTTATGATGTTTGTTCTCATTTCTTAAGCCCTGCGTACATTTAAGTAAGCTAACAAATAGGGGGTAAGTGGAGGCAAGGAAGCTACTACCTAGGGCGCAAAAGAGCTCAGGCTTCCTTGAAAAAGCCCGAGCCTTAATGATATGGTTCCTTGACTTTTCGAGGGAATTCTTTTAACAAATGTGGTGATGTATAACTCCTCAGGGCAGTACAAGCGCAGCCAAGTTCGTGAGGAACGGCTGCTGGGCGCAAAACAAAACATCTTCCTTCTGTGGACATGCAAATTTGGCCAAGCAAAGTGGAGCCTTCTCGCCACGTACATCCCGCGCAAGTTTGAAGATCTGCATAATCAGGACCAATGAAGTACAAAACTGCGTTATACAAATTGCTTCAACGGAAGTCATTCCTCACAGCAGTCATCGATTCGATAGCTCGCAAAAACATGACATCCTGCAGCTGGAAGGTGGTGTCTCTGTATGCATCACGAAGTTCCTTCAGCAAGTCCTATGCTGATGGCACAATGAATCATGTGGCAGGCTTCTGATCTGACTTGAAGCTCTCAGTCTCTGTCATAGGCGAGTGTTGCGACCATGGCATGACAGAAGAGTTGAGGGTCCTTGGCACCTTCTTTTGTGAGATGCTTCCGGGTCACTTCATTGGCTTCCTGCAAGTCCAAAGTCACTTCACAGCTGCCTTCCTTGCAAAGGGCTTGAGCAGTTTGACCTCTTCGATGAATGCTTTGGATGGAGAGACAGCAGGCTGTTGCCTCATGGAAGGCAACACTGTGGGTGGTTGCAACAGGCTTCTTCCAGCAATGCAGCACAAACACGCTAAGTCCTGGAGAACTTGATCTTGGTCCTGCCATTCTTCGCAACATGTCAGCATCGCAAGTGCCGCAATCAAGTTCATACTCACCGGTTTTGGATGCTTACCTAAACGTGTAACATGAAGAGGATTTCCGAATCACATCCTATCGCTACGTTTTTTCTCAAACACATACGCGATCCATTTCGGATAGCTTTAGGCAAACACAACATGCTCACCATCTGATGACACACATTCACGTGCCTGGCGCTCTTCGCTAAACACATTCCTGCAAAAATCATGAGCCATTAGCAAAAAACATCAACAAACTGACAAGGATCAGTATCTATACAAATAAACCAGAAGGAGGACACAGTAGCATCAGCTACCATTAACAAGCGACCAGTGTGAGAAGCAACCACAACCAGTTTTCTTTCGCATTGCGGCCTGGCAATTGCTTTCTCCAAAGTCTTCTTCAGCGATGCTTGCTCCTCGAAGCCAAATGCTGTGATTTGCAAGCCATGCGAGTTGAACCAAAAAAACAACTCCGTTAAGTCTGGAACTCGATCTCGCAAGGCTTGTAGCTTTTCGCGCTTGGCCTCTGAAAGAGTGACTGGTTCACGGAAACGTTAAGTCCAACAATAATGAACCTGAGACAACTTAATCTTCAAATGGTCTAGTTGAGCTACCAAACAAATGTGTTTGGACCTGCCTGCGTATCCTTTGATATTCGAGTTCGGTCAGGTCGTCCAACCGAGCACTCATCAATCTTGTGCAGGCACTCCTCTGCCTGATGTCTCAAAAAGGCGACAACCTTACCTTGTTACTAGTTACTAGTAGCTTCTAGCTACTAGTAGCGATGCCCTTGTTAGTACAAAAAAAAACACACAAGCAGTGCAATTAGTCGAGAAAGGTCAAAGGTCATGATGACACAGCCTGCGATGAGCATAGCTCATCCCTCACACGGCTTAGAAGCCACCCAAGCTGCCTCGTCAAGCTGGCCTAAACCCTCCAATGCACAAGCCCACCGGAACCAAGCCTCAGTTGCAAGGAAGCAATGGAAAGGTTCGCCGCGGCATGCAATCAAAGTGCCGCTTCAAGTCATGTACAGCTGCAAACCGTGTGTGTGGTCCTGGATACCACCAACATAAATGTTACAAATACAAGCATTCACTTGACCTTGCTAAAGAGTTGGACAGTTGCAAACCTGTTGATTTGATTCAGGATGAACAAAGCGTCACGCTTTGGCTGCTCAATGATGGAACGTGTCCACTTGAACAGAAACATGTCGCATGCAGTGACATGGAAACTTTGGAGTGGTTTATTAAGTTCATTACTTGGCTGGCCACCTTATGATCTTCCGGAGAAAGCTGTGTGGCAGTCTCGGCCGCCTGACAGTCACAGGTCACCATGAACACAATGAAACACAGGATCAAAACACAATAAAACCGATGAGCCTTGGCAGCCTCGTGCCACAAGCCCAGCTTCATGCAAGCCTTGAACCCAACACAGTGGCTCCACAGCGTGGTGACATTTCAACGACGAGCAGGTGACATTTCCACGCGTGGATTTCTATCAAAGAGCTTTGTATGATAGTCTCGGCTCATATTCAATTCACATTGTTACACGCGCTCTTCACATCTTTCCAGCCTGAGAGAGATTCTTGAGCACAGCTGTGTGAAGCTCAGAGTAAACCTGGTTGTTCTCCTTATCCGCGGCCTTAGAATGTTCTTTCCAGCGCTGGACATGGATAACCAAGTCTTTCACGGATGAGTTTGATGACCCTGTGGGGACACAAATGTCATCTCACACCTTGAAGGGACGCAAGGTGTCGTCTGCCTGCCTGCCGGTCTTGTACGGTGGACTTGCTGACTGTGACTAGCAATACGCTTTCTCTGCAGGAGGTTTCCGTTGAATCCACCAATCAAGACAAGACCGGTGTGCAAACAAGCAATGTATTGTATGTATCTTGATACGCCTCCAACTCACATAGGCCTCCATCCAATTGCCTTGCTCCCATTCCACGAGGCCATCCTGTTTGGGCTGACAAACTGCTTCACATGAGACCATATCAGATCGATGAATTGAACACCCCGAATGAAATGCCTGGATCCGAATAACAGGAATCCTCACTTGGGCCCGTTGGGTAGTTGTGAAACGCACACCAACGCTGCTTCGCTTGGACGACCTTCTTCGATCAAAAGATCGTTGAAGACTGTCGCCGACCTGGCCTTCTTGCACTTCTGCCCCCAATTCATGATTTGGGCCAAGGTGTGAACATCAGCTATTTTCTTCTCCTCGCAGCTCAACATGTTCTCAGAGACAAGCGACTGGAACAACCTCTTGTTGATTACCGACACAACATCGCCAAGTACCTGCAACAATTCCTACGATCAAGAATGATCTTTGTCACTCAGCCTGATCTTGTTTTTCTTCTTGTCGATCTGTCGCCAATGTCCTCAAGGGCCATGAATGTCAAGATTTCAAGGTTCCTGACCTTTCATGAATTCAGAAACCATGAGGTATGACTCATCGACTCATCTTGTCATATCTTGCCATCTCACTCCTGGCTCTAGCATCATACTCAGTCAGCATATCATCGGCCGCCTTGCACAGGTTTCACATGGTTTCACAGGTCACATTTCAAGGACTGTGAGCCGCTCAAGGAGATGCTCGCTCCTGACTTCCAAATTCATCTACTCTATCCCGGATGCCCTGCAAAATAGTCAGACTCTCCTGCCAGCCAACAAATGCAGGTCACCTGTAAGCTATACATCGAATCCTTACAATCCAATCATGAGTCAACATCCAGAAGAGCAATAGATCAATGAGTCAACACAGTTCCCTACCACAATGGATACATCTGCTGTCCTCAGAAGAGACGATCTCATGGAAGCTTTTTCGCAGTTGCTTGGCCTGTGAAACGGATCTATTCAAGGGGCCGCTGGCGTTCTTCTCTCTCACGAAGGATCATACATCCATTTCTCACCTCAAAACCTCAACAATGAACACTGTACATTTTCTACGAGATCCCTCAGGAGTTGTCCCGTTTTCTCTGTTTTCACTCTCTTCTCTGCCTTCTCCACGAAGCCGCTTAAGACCTTCATGGTAATGCTGAAGTGGAGGATCGGTGCCACCAAGCGCTTCACCTCTGTGGAGGTATCCTCGCTGTCCAGCTGAGGAAACCGGATTCGGCTCATCAGGACTTGTTTCACCTCCGGTTCCATACCCAGAGACATTTGGCACTATGCCCATGCTCAAGGTCTCTTTGCAAAAAGAGTCTATTCTATTTCCATTCTGGCGTTTCAGCATGGTCCTCCAGCAGTTCTGCAAGGAGCTCTCTTTTCTGATTCAAATCTTTCACCTTCAGAGCAAAGCAACATCTGCCAAACAGCCTTTCCTCCTTGATCGATTCTCTATCGATTCTCTTCAGGCTTCTCTGTCAATTCAATACCAACATGGAAAAGCACGCGTAGGACAAGCAGCAATACTATAGCCCGTCGCTTGGGACTATGTACTTTAAAGATCCCAGCGCGACAGTGCCTGCTCAAACTGCTTCAGCCAAACCTGATTGCAAGGCTTTCCAAGGCAGGTTGGAGGCCATTGCTATTAGGTTGGAGGCTATCTCAACCAACCTCAGGACTTCACCTCTCTCCGGCTGTTCCAATGTTGCTCCGTTCGTAGCAGGGCCTAGCACGTCGGCTCTTGCTCACCTTGCCATCTCTTAGTTTTCTGGAAACCTCTCGACTTACTCATCCTACTCTCACTGCAGTTGGCAGGTGCCTTGTTGAAAGGCTTTCTTGCAGCATGGTACCAGAACTCCGGATCGTTCTGGTCTCGATTCAGATTGGGATTGTGCCGTGGATCGGTACTGGCCAAGGCGCAAACACGTGTGCTTTCTGTTGCTCTCTATACTCAGGTCAGCATAAAGCACAAATAAACACAATCACCTAGCCAAATCTCTCTGTCTGCTGCCTGTCCAGTTGCAACTGCTTCTTTTGCCACCTTGACAACACCCGACCGCCATATCCCATGCAACAAATAGAGGTGAACATGTGCGCAATTGCGGTGCTCAAAGGAAATCGACAAGGTAACATCATTATATATAAACACAGTACTGTAGGGTTTGACTTTCGCCGGACGCCGCTAGATCGATTTCTTCAGAATCCATCCTTGGCTCGGATTCGGGCTCATTGCTTCTGAACTTTGGGTCCAACTGTGGGTATCCCAGCTCCTCGTAATTTAGTGGATGCGAGCAAACTCTTCAGAAGATTGGCAAAACAATGCGAACAGCGACTCCACCTACACTTACACGAAGGTCCAGGTCCTTGTACTCTTCATCGGAAATCCATGTTGGTGCCAAACTCGCTGCCTGGCATTTGCTTCGCTCGCCAAGTCATGTCCTATTTTGTTGCGGCCTTCTGGTCTTTGGGCAGTTCTGCAACGGCTGCCTGCAAGGCAGTCTGAGCCTGGAAACATTCAGGTTGCCCGTGGGTTGCCAAAGCTTCACGACAACCCCTCTGAATTGGCTGGTTCAGCCGGCATGCCTCTTGTTTGGCCGCAGTAAGTGCTTGACTTGCCTGCGAGTCGGCCAAGTTTCACTTCGAAGCGACGTTGCTTGAGCCAACCTGCTTTGACCTTTCCATCTCTCGCCGGGTAGCGTCCTCGACCATCGGATCAGCAACATATGCTGTTGGGAATGGAGCAAACATCTAACCCTGTCTCCTTCGCTGCCCTTCCTGCAATCAACTCCAACTTTCTCGCAGTTTCCTGAAAAGCAACATTGAAAACTGTGCTGTGACATTCTTTTTGCTCCTTGAGTTTGGAACACAACCTCAGTGAACCTGCCAACCTTGTCTTGCAAAGGATTGAGTTGAAATCCCCTTCACATCCCCAAACATCCTTGCCTCATCAAAGGCCTTGCCTTCAAAGCCTGGGAACACTTAACTTGGCATCCAAAGAGCAAAACTGGTAAACTATCCAGTCAATCTAGTCAGTTATCATTGCACAAGGCTTGGGTATCTCTCTTCTTTTTTTTTCTCTCTCTCTCTCTCTCTCTGTCTGTCTGTCTGTCCGTCCGTCGGTCTGTCTGAGACTGTTCTCACTCAGTCCAAAAATGTTCCAGCCATACAAACAATCTCAGTTTGATGCGCACTTGCTGGGTTCTTCGACTCAGACTGCTGGTCTGGCGGGCAGTGTGGTTTACAACAAAGCCAAATGACTGTTTCAAACAAACCCCTGCTTTAGCGACAGCGTCTTGCTGAGTTGCAAGGGCGGCGAGTGCATCCTGAGACAATGCCGAGGAAAAACAGTGCGGCTGCAACAGTTGTCCTCATGCATTGGAAGAATCGGGGCACTACTTCTTGAAGTTGTTTGAAACAACTGCCTTCGTAACCTAATCAAGGAAGAATACAAGCTGCCACAATGCACCATTAGAGGGACTGCAAGGACAAAGCCTTTGAACAGTTTACGTTGTGGTGGTGCCAATCACCGCTCCAACTTATATATTATTGGATGTGGGATGGCTCTTGTGGGCAATCTCTTGGAGAAGCAAGCCAATCCGTAGAAAATTACATCTCTCCCGTGACGTCCTCTTTGGCTTTCAGGAACTGTTCATGGCGTTCCAAGTCTTCTCCACTCAACTCCTGACTCCGTCTCCCGAGCCGGTGTGACGACTGGCAACATCATCAAAGCGGACTTCAAAACATTGGATCTTTGAGATGTCCTTATTTCTCACGACTCTTGCAGCACAAAAAACCAATATGTCGACCCATGACAACCTGAGAATCCAACATCATCTCCAACAATCTTGCTGAGCAACGCTTGGCGCCAAGCCTGCAGCTGGGAGAACGGCAAAAACTCTTCTGAGCTCCATCGAACTACCACATGAGCAGCATCTCGTCTGTTTTTCGCCCAGCAGGAGTCTGGTGCACTCTCAACTTTCACATAATCAGCTTATGTCAACTTTCATGGCGTCTCAGGAGAAGTTGTAATGCTTATTGATGGGCTTCCTAACGTCCCAAACGCAGGTCATTCCATCTGGAAAGGTGACCAAATCTCCAGCTTCAATCTCCGCCTCTTCTACGTCAGCCCACTCGCCTGTGGGAGTCACCGTGGCCTCACCCTCCAGAATATATGCTGTCTCTGTCCCGCTGTAGTCCCAATCGAACTTGGATACGCCGCAACCCCATGTTGGCCAGGATGAAACTCCAAACTTCTTATCAGCCTCCTCTTTGGACATCTTCTCAACTTTGATGCCCTTGAACCTCATGAAGGTGCCAACTTGCCGTGTAGGATTCCGCAAAAGCATTGGCGAACTTGACACGAAGGCAAGTGGCACAGCTACACCCAGCAGAAAACTGAGGATCCTCAGGCTGCCGTGGCGCCTCATGACGTTCCGGTCGAACGATGTCTAAGGCTGATCCTCTGAGCCACAAATGCTGCAAAAAAGCCTTTGACAGTGCCGAGGAGGCAGGAAGATGCAGGAAGCACAGAAACACGGGAAGATTTGGATTAGAGAGCAAAAGAACAATACAGAACAGGCCGCTCACACTCTGGGGCCTCGCCGTCCTCGGCCTTGATCTTTCGTTTAGAAACACAGCTGTTGTGGAAGAACGAATCAAATCAGTACAAACAAGCGAAGGCATTTGATACTCCGTGTCATTTCGGTCGGCCTGCTGGGTTTCGGATACCATGGCATCAATGACTCAAGTCATGTGGATAGGTCGCTTGTGCTATTACTGGCAGAAAGTCTTGAGGTCTTTAGCAAACGACTTCTATTCCCCACAAAAGTGAGAGCCTCCATTCTCAACGACTCTCTGTCTGCTGCTTGGCATCAGCACCATACCGAATTCATATAGGACGGACAAAAGATACCCCGTTGACGCACCAAGTGCGGTCTAACTGAAAGCTGTCTGGAGCTGTCTGAAAGCTGTCCGTCCTCTGTTCCGTCTGGACTTGACAAGCTGAGCGCCATGTATTCCATGCGTGTCACTTCGTGTCTACAGAAAACGACCTCATCGTCCTCAACCTCTCCCAGTTCCGTGGGACACCTTTTTCGAGCTGTAGCGCAAGCTGCTGGCCTGGCAAGGCTCTTGGATTCTCTTAGTATATAATTCTGAGTCCCGTTCCCTGGCATCATTCCGCTTGGTGTGATCTCAACCGACCTCAGTCTTGCAATTTCCTCTCGGGCAACGGCCTCCATAGGCAGGTTGCAATCCCTTCCGCAGTCTTTGCAGCCATAGCGTAGAGTATCAATGTCAAACCTTGCATGGGAAAAGGAGCACTCTCCTCATGTGGGGCAAGGGAGGAGGTGCCAAAGCATCTGCCTTTGGGCGTTTGTGCGCAGGCTCCCCATTTGCCTCTCCAAAGCCAAGTTGCAGCCAAGGGTTGTGGTTGTACTTCCAAAAGAAGCAAAGAACACATCAATTGCTACAGGTATGTAATATGTATATATATATATATGTGTACACCTATCTGACAGAACAAGTTTCCACCGCTGTCCCACCTCGTTTAGAGCTTCTCTGAATGCGAAGCAAAACCGCTGCACATCCCGAAAGGTACTGAGCAAATTCGAGCACACAATTTCTCAACAGCTCACGAGAATGGCGCTCAATACGTGGGTCAAAACTCCTTGTACGGCAGGTGCTACGTAGCTGTGCTGTTGACTTGTGGACTGGACAATGGTTTGCTCAGTGTTTGGTTTCACCAGCCATACTTGCACTGCGAATTGCGAAAACCGTCCAGGGCACTTGTAGAGTGGAGCTGGTGCCACGCGAATCACGTTGGGCTTCCGGTGATCAACCACCTCAAACAGCAAAGTCTCTGCGAAACCGCCTCTCGGAGCAAAGTCCCGTCTGGAAGCTTGGTGGCATGCAATGCCACGCTTCTCCAACGCGGAGAAGGTTGCCAAACAAGCTCTCTCCTGGGCGATTCTTCTTTGTTTGAAGCTTAAGCTCGCTTCTGAACACGAAGCTGGTAAATTCATCATCTGAAGCCCAAATCTGGTATTGAGCTTAAGCCCGCCCAATCTAGAAGTGGCATCATCTGAAGCCCCAGTACCTTATGCCTGTTTCCACTCACTTCTTGTCCCCGAGATCGGACGCCTGCGCAAACTTGAGGCTCAGTTGGCAGCCCCGCGCAGCAGGAGCGGAGGGAGTGATGACCTCAACCGAGAGAGTGACAACACGCCTGCGCACATAGTAGCTTCTTGCTACTAGTAGCAAGGTGCCTTTCTAGTAGTAACAAGCTACTAGTAGTAAGGCACCTTGCTACTAGTAGCATCAGGGGACCTCAAAGGACCTGTTGAAGAACGACTCAGAGGCACAAGATTTAACACAGTGTGACATGTTTCTTGTCTGCGGGCTGTGACATCCCCTATTCTGCACTCAACCTTCAAGCGTCTTGTCATGTCTTTTCGCTTTGTGTTCCTTGTTCATCCACGCATTTCCAAAGTCTTTCTACTCTTTGGAACTCTTGAACTCCTAGTACAACTCTCAACGTTCAGCACCCTACGCTCAAATCTGAGCCAAACAAGTCCTCCAAGAGCATCTCCAAGTATGCTGTCAAAAGCATTGACCTTGGTTTCTTTGAACCGCTCAGCCTACAAACCTCAAAGCACACTTTCACTCGCATTGCTCTGCCCCAATCTACAACAATCAGTGATTGAGATCAGGGCTTTCCACGTAGCTCTGCCATCGTGGTCCTTGTTTAACGCAGGCTTACATGCAAATCCTTCCATTCCTTTTCATTTTTTCGACATGCTGGCGGACCTGGAGAAAACTTCAAGGCTTGCAAGCAGCGACACTGTCTGCAAGACTGGTGGGTTTGACAAGCGCCATGCTCCAGCATCGACCTGCACGCAGGCTCTGAGTGATTTTGCGGAACTCCTATATAACTCTAGATGTATGATTATACATATTATTATATGATATTATATGGATAATATGGAATCTTTCAAACGTCAAACTGGATTCAACTGTCAAATGAACCCTGATCTGAGTTCTCAAACTTCTGCTTTGGTATCAACAAAGCCTTCGTGATTCGGTCCACCATAATGACCCGGACAGGAACACGTGTTTCGCTTCGTCGGTGTTGAGCGCCTCTGGATCCCAGTTGTGCTCCGTGTTGAAGCGCGTGGATTGCTTTTGGCCTTAGCCAACGTGAGCTTTTGGTGCGACAAATCAATACAAATCATCTCAGTTGGCATGAGTTGGCATAGCTGAAATGGCCATATGGGTGTGGACAGGGACCATCTCTCAAAGCTTCAAAGGAAAGTATGAACAAACATGAACAAACAATGCAGCAATGCGGATAGAGCATCAATATCGCCTACCTCTTGGATTCGCACCCCACCATCCTGCCAGTAAAGGTAAGCCTGCAGGAATCTGCATATCATCGCACTTGTATTCTTGTGGCACGGACATCCCTGTATGTGGTGGCCACGTGGAGAAGCAACAAAGAGTTCAGGTTGTAGCCCCTGCCCAGCCTTTGTCATGGTGCTTCTTGTGGACAAAGAAACCACCGATTGCACCAGGACCGGAGTTCAAGTATTTGTAGTTGCACCTGCAAGGCCAAGGTTAGTATAGGTCGTCGCTTGGCATAATTTGGCAACATCATGCAACAGCTGAGAGACTGACCAGCATGCTCCGTCAACTTCCCAGTCATGCAACTTCAAGTCCTACAAGAAAAGGGAGACGGCGACCGGTCTCAAACCTGCGTTTGGGAATGGGTTTTCTGAGTGCTGAACCACATTGCCAACTGCATGGGCACAATCCCACATGGCCTTTTCAAGAGGACTTCCAATCCCCATGAGTCGTGACAAACGGAACCGTCAAGGCCACCCAGCAGTTGCTCCAACATCATGAGCTGCTTTGGTGATGCTGGACACGTCAAAGAACTGACCCGTATAGTACCTGCCCGGCCATTTTGTTAGAATCCTCATGGATGGCCCTGAGCCTTTGCGAGTGCTGTTCAATTGCGATGTTGACAAATGATCTCAGCTTTTCCTTGAGGTGAGATGATAGATACATCCAGGCACTTGTTTTGTATCAACCTGCCCTGCGTAGAACAATCTACATGAGCGAGGACAAGCTATCAATTGTCGCTAGATAGCCCCAAGCTTGTTGTCATTGACGACTTCCAACAAAAAAATCCAACCAACGTGCCGAACACTGGCGCACTGCACGGTGCCAAAGCAAACAGCTGCAAGGCAATCTCCAGCGGCCTTTGCGGAGTTCTGTATGGACTTTCTGCGATTCATCCACAGGTCACAGGCCCTCCCATCCTGTTGCCATGAATGCAATCAGGGTTGACCAAGGCAATCCTTGAGGCAAAGACTTGGATTGCGGCCACGATGTCCTCTGTGCGCAGCAATTCCTCCCCCGCACGAGCCTTCGGTTGGCGAACTTTCAATCTTTGAGTCGAAGAACGAAGTTCGGCACCTTGACTGGCAAGAGTACCTCCTTTGGGTCTAGCCCATGAAGCCGTGCCTGTCATAAGGGCAGTGGGATATTCGGGGCCATTGGAGGCCTTGGCCTTTTGAATCGGGACTGAAAAGGAGGAGAAAAGGACATGAGAAAAAGAGTAAGGCCCGCTTTCAGGAGCCTTACCTTCTTTTTCCATATCCGTTTTCAGACCCAGATTCCAAAAGCTGACAAATGGATATTCCACACTCTTCAAGTGTTTGAAGTACGTGTCGCCATAATATTTTATGCCCGACCTGTGATTCGAAAGCAAAATAGTCGGAGCCAAAGGCACTGGCCTGGTCCCAAGCAGAATGTTCACATGAAGAACATGAAGGGAGCAATTGTATTAAGAACGCCTCACTCACAAATGTATATCCCACACAAATAAAGGGCATTGCTGCATTGATACATCAACTGGTAGCGTGCATGTTTTCTTCCTTGCCCTTTTGCGATCTTCACCAAGAACCCTCTGGATGCATTTTGACTCACACTTACAGAACTATTTGAAGCGCAAGCTCTCGTGCCTCTGATGCAAACGACTACAGCACATGACTTCTCAAAGGGAAATCACCAGCCAACAATTTGCATTCTATTCTTTCTCCCGGAATTGAGGCAATGCAGAATTTTGATTTATCACACATTCATCGGCCTCATACATGATCTTGTTGCGCTTGCCATGTGGCCTGTAGAAGGATACCTGAAACCATCAGCTCAGCACCAATATGCACTAATAGATCTGAGATCACTCGTTTCCAACTTCTGATCACATTGACAAAAAGCTGAGGTGCGAAAAGCAAGTGCAAATTAACGGTGAGGCTGTTCATGACAGCTACCTTGCACAGTGCTTGCGTGTGGTGACCGGGGGCACATTTCGCAACAGTAGACGTCACGCCTCTGATTTTTCCGCGCCAACAATTGCAGCACTTTGCCTCACAACGGCAGCTCACAGCTGGGTGCAGTTGAAGGCACTGAAACACTCAGGAGAGGTTGAACTCCTCATGGTGGCTCACTGTCAAAGGCTGAAACTCAATGACATTCTCATCAATGGGCACCCAGGGTCGTGTCCTGTGGAATCCAAGAAACACATCAACAGAAGTGATTCCGCTTGTGTTTTTGCGTTTTTTTACAAATAACATTCCAAACACCCCTGGGACCCCGACCCGGTGAAGTGGCCATTCACCCCAAGCGATGCCCACTTATCCAGCTCCTGCATCTACCAAGTCCGCCCAAATTGACCAAGATCTGATCAGCTGATACCAGTCCCTTTCACTTGTCTGCTGGTGGGAGAATCGACCAATGGAAATAGTTATAAATAGTTGATGTTGACTGCATTGTTGCCTAGACCAACTTGGGAGCAACGGCATGGAGCGTCCTCACAAACGAGCTCCTTAGTCCGACTGGGCTGCAAGCCCAAGGAATTCCTGCAAATGGCAGCTCGTCAAAAGAGAGCGAGGGAAACAGAAAAACGAGTGGTGCTGAGCATTTGTCATTCACAACTCACAACAGGTGGACTGGAAATCTTTCAACTGGTAAGGTAGGTGTTCAAAACTGCCACATCAGTGACTTTGTCTTCCCACACTGTCTATGGAGGATACCGGGTACCTGTGGAAGTCTTGGATAAACCAAACTCATAACGCCAGCGGCGGCGCACCCGACCAAGTAGGTGCACTCTTCATCTGGCGGTGCCAGTGATGGGTCCGTCTCTGGCAAGCCTGCATTTCGTGGTACCTGTTTCGGCAACACTTCAGGTCTTTACAAGTCAACTCTGCAAGATTTGCATCATTTCTGCAACATTATATACAGTATAAATATATATATATATGTATTATATACACACCAAATATGTGAAAATGAACATATGGAACAACACATTCAGGATCATGAAGACCATCCGACACTCCGACATTTTGCCAAAAACCCAAGAACTCTCAGTGCACGGCCAAAAACTGACTGCGCTGATTGGAAGGCAGTGCACTCAGCTTCTTGTCCAAGGCTTGGGCCACCTTTCGCGTTGACCCACGTTGACACTCCAAATACCACAACGGTCCCAACGGTTGCATGACTCTCAATTGAAATTGGATTCACCGTTCACCCTTTAACAGCACATCATCCGTCAGTGGTCAATGCCCCAAACAACTCCTGACACGAATTGCAGCCCAGATTTGTGCTGACCTCACTTGAGGTCAGTGGGTGGCCAATGGCCTGCACTCCAACAAGGCAAATGAGTCATGAAACATCCAAGACTTGCATGATAATGGAGCCTTAGCGACTTCACTTAAGCATGCTTTCGCATTGGTGCCACCTTTTGCAGCGAGCTCAGCAAGCCAAACCTCGTCTTTCCATTAACTAAGACCCATTGTTTGAATGAAGGATTTGTCTGAGCGCATTGCTTGGTTGATTGGCCCGCCTGCAAATAACAAGAAGGCAGTATTCAAATGTGTTCACGATCCCATCATCTCACATCAAACACGCACACACACACACACCTTCCATCGCAATTGTGGCTTTGTGCGCGCCATTGCTGCCATTCATGGCTAAACGGCTAAACAGTTTTGGTTGCACTTCTCGCTGTTTTGCTGTGATTGGCAAGTATGGGACCCACACAGTTTCACAAATTGTTGTCAAACGCTGGGGTGCAAATCCAGCTTAGTCCGGAACTAAACTCTTTGGCCAAATTTGGAAATGTGACTGTCTTAAAACTAAGGAATAATATGTCAAAACTAAACATCAAGGAAGCAAAATGCCGGCAAAAAGAACGTTCCCATCCAATTCCCCAAAAATGTTCCGTCCTACCCCCCCCCCGGCGGAACTCCATCAAGTCATACCGCATCCACTCTTGACGGACATCCTTTTGTATGTTTACTACAAGGAACCTATTTTTTTTATTGACATAGAATAGGAAGCACATGCCGGCTACTAGGCATCAAAACCAATCACGATCCAGTTTTTCAGGCATGCATACTTGCAGCAAGTTGATGCTCACAAGCCAGTTCTGCCGAATTAGCGTTTCGCACACCTACTCTACAATAGGAAAGGCCGTTCACTCCAGCAACCAGTACTTGCAAGTCTTCTTCTGTTGGCTTATTCATGGATGCTGGGGAGAAATCTGCATGGCATTGAACATTTAGCCCTGCTGCTTAGCAGCTTTGGGCTGGGCATTGTGTGGTGGAAAGTTTGAAATACAAATTGTTTCACTTCAATGTCCGGTTTGAGATTCCTAGAGCTCTTAGGTTTAGATGATCAAACAAACTGGATTCGTAGTAGAACCTCAAATCTGCTCGAGGAGGACATACCACAGAAGTGCCTCAGCATATGGTGTGCAAATGGCTGCTGATGGCACGCAGTCGGGTGGTGGGGGTACGACCAAAGGCAGCAGCGCCAATGCACCAGGTCTCGCGGCACCTTCATCGGTTCCTCAGTCCCAAAATCTATCAAGCTGTGAAACTCAAGGTGCACCGTGCCACCACTCCCTGACCAACATCTGGGCCCTTTGCAGCTCTCCCCAAGATGATGAATGATGATGTGATCACATCTAGGAGTCTGACGCATGGGGAGCAACTCCACCAACTCGAATCCCAGGAGAGTACCTGTCTAATGCAATTCTAATTCTTGTTCCCAATAGCATCCTTTGTTCCTAGTAGTGCGGCCAGGAGCCCCTAGTAGCGTTCTTGCTCCTAGTAGCGATGCCAGGAGCCCCGTTCGTACCGAAGATGCTCCTACCTGTGGCTGCTTCGGATCCCAAGCGTCGCACGGTTCGCATCTGCGATCCTCTCATCCTCAAAGTCATTCCGAATCCGCGTGATAAAACTCCATTGCGTGGCATTGGGTGGATACCTCAGAGGCACGTGCCGCTGAGATGCTTTGCAATATGCTGTGCTTGCATTTCAGCGCCAGGCCCAGGGTTGCTCACATCTATTTCAAGTGTGTAGTTGTTCCGCAGCAAGCCTGCACAATTTGAGATTGCGCACAAGTGTGCCAGTATATGCCAAGCAAATTGCAAAAGCACATTGGCGGTATGATGCTTATTGAAATCGATCTTCTGGCATCTTCTGGCAATCCAGAGTTGGAGGTCTGAAGCAGAACCAGGACTTGATGTGGCCTGCACCGTTGGGGAATCTGACAACTACTGATGCGTTGTCATAGCCCCGGCAGGTCATGCCTGATGCAAAAATTGCAGCAAAAGTATCATGATCTTGATTCTTCGAGGTCTTCTTCAAAACAAGAAATTGGTGGGGCATGGTGGGGCTCAATGTCATGTCAGGCGCAGGTGCCTGGCCTTCAGGCGGGAAGACAAACCCAATGTCATACCCTCTGGTGCTGGTGGGCGCGTCGACTTGATTGCCTTGGAGGCCACATCCTTCAGAACCATTTGGTCACCCCATAATGAATGGTTTCAAAATTTGAACAGTGACAATGGTCTCCATGATCCTCCATGTCAACTCATGCTGACATGCTTTCCAAACCTCCAGGACTCCGGCTCCACCGAAGTCGGAAGCCAGTGCAGTTTGTTGGGAAGATGAAACCATCAGGCCCTGACAGCACCTGAAACATGGTCACATATAGCTGCTTTGGGACACGCTAGCCAGCACCGCCAGTGAAACTTCAAACAGCGCTTTTTGACTCCCGATTGCAGTTGCACACTTTTTCCTGAGGTTTAAGAGGCGGTAGGGTTCATCTGCCAGGATGAGCTTCTGCAAGGACAATGTCTCGCCCAGCGTTGAAGTGCCAAGCGCAGCTGCTAAGCCATGACGTCTCTGCTCTGGAATGCGAATCTCAATGCCTGAGACTGCTTCCTGCAGGGCCCACAGGGTGCTTATAGATGCTTATAGTTTGATGACGTCATGGATCCACTTGAGAAGTGCAAGACAACACTTTGACTTGGTCCATTCCACCACCAGCCATAAGAGAATGACCACCCATGCAGACGCTGGTGTACTCTTTGATGCTTCAGCGCTAGCCGCTAGCTACGAGTAGTGTCCAACAAAACATGAGTGGAAGATAGTGGAAGCTCGCATATGAATTTGGAACATTTTGGAACAACCTTTGCTTCACTAAGCTGGTTCCAATCACTTGAATGATGCTTGGTGTGTCCTTGGGGGAGGGGGGACCAACTGATTCTATCACACACAGTGTTTCTTGGTGGCTATCAATTAAGTATATAGTATCTATAAATCAATTCTTTTGCAACTATCATTCAACCTTCTTCTGTAAACGAGAACTTCAGCGACAACGTTTTTGGTTTGTTCTATATCCTTTTGTTTCTCTTTTCTGACCCACTCTTTGTACTCAAGCCAAACTTCCCTGCCTGAGCCAGTTGACTTGCCACCTCGAGAGTATGAACTTGTGCAGTCCAGCCTGGCCGTTCTTCTTCAATCATAGCAGCCAAATAGCTGCAGCCAGCGGCACTTCCCAAACGACCAGGATCCACACAAAGAAAGGAGCCCCCAGGTGAAAGGATCTGGTCTAATGCAGTGATCAAAAAGCTGAATGAACCAGAATCATACAGGATATCGCCGCCGACGACCAAGTCAAAGCAGCCGATCTTTGAGGTGCCTGGACTTCAAGAAGCCCAAGAAGCACTCGGCGGAACACATCGATGGAATGAAGGCCACTCAATTTTCATTCAGCAGCTAGTCCAAAATCTAGGCTCCTAGGTCTACGCTTCCCTTTCCGGCCTGTCTTCGCAAATGTGATCCAATCGAAGGGAATGCAGTCAATGGGAAGGCAGGGGTTGAGTGTGATGTTGTGTCGAAGATTTTCTAGTACTGGCCCAGGTCGATCTGACAGGACAACCTGACGCATACAAGCAATGCTCAAGGGTGACTTGACCTTGGAGGCATGCCCTGTCCAACTATGTATCGAAAAAAGTAGGCAAGTGCAGTTTCAGTTTTTGTTCTTTGGTTATTCTCAATAAACCGTTGAGAATGCTCTACCCGCAGGGCTTTCCCAACAAAGTTTGGACGCTTTGGAGAGCCCTTCACTCTGGCGTGGCCTCAGCTGCACCGAGCGTTGCTGCAACGATCCCAGCCGTCCCCAAGCCACTCCCAAGTTCCAATATGCGGCTTCCACAGATACGCTCCGCGTTGATGCTCATCCATGCAGAAAGCACCTGAAGCGGGTTTAGCACAGCACTTCTCAACAATGAGGAAGGTAAATGAAGGTAGTATGTTTTCGGGTTATGCTCGAATGTTGCATGTGGTATCCGTCCAGCACAATATGATCTGCAAGGTTTCGCCTGCTTTCAACACTGCTTCGGCCGATCTGGGTGACCTGACTAGGCCGGCTCCCCATAGAAGCTCGCCCTGTTCCAAGCGCTTTCTCGCAACATTCCTGCAACTTTCTGATGCAATGGACTCGACCTCAAAAAGCAAAATACTGAATACCCAGTCCTCGCTTGGTGCCGGTGACCTTCAAACAAATCGAGCAAACAGGGCCGCTTCATTCCTCAAGGCACACTGGCAAATCATGCACCTCTTTTATTTAGGCGCCCTCACTTGGGCGACAACCATCAAAATGTCTATGAAGTGCCAGTATTCTCAAACCTTTGCCTTCAAGACTCCAGGAAAACGCAGCTTTACAAAACCTTCTGGCGAATCTTCAGGAATGCGCTTCCTTGACTTTGCCTGCTTGGCTATCTTTGGCTGGCTGTCATCGCCACCAGATGGCACAAAAACCATCGGTGCACATGCCAGCTCTTGACATGCAGCTCGCAAGACAGCCTCTGGAGATGATGGCGCCATGGCTAACACACGACAGAATAAATAGGCCGCTTGAATTGTAGAAGAGTTCTCAGATCGAGTTGCAACAGCTTGGTGCAATCTTTGTAGCCCGGCTCAAAAGACTTATGGTCCTTTTAATTGATCGCAAATCCATGGTTTGATGCATGAGCTCGCTGCCTGCCAGGCCGCATCTGCCGATTGCTATCTGGCAAGCCTTTATCGTGTGAGCCTGGACGACTTGGTCATTGCTTGGGACAAATGGCTGTGGCGCTTCTTTAAATGGTAGCAGGCTTCAATCCCTTCTCATAGTCTCATAGTCTGCCTTACAAGCACGAAGCTTCGCAACTAAAAGCAGCAAGGTCAAGCACAAGCTCATTGCCGATGTCGGCTTGATTGAGGATAGTGGACTGCGTGAAGACCTGATCCGCAAATTCACGTGAGCACACTAGTTTCTGCGCCAGCAGCCAAATGACCCCCAATGTATGCGCACTTGGGACCAAGCGATTCGCAAAGGGTTGATTTGCCCGAAGTACGGGAACGTCGCTTGAATGTCCACCTGCAGAAATAACTCGGATCTCAGATCTGATCTTTTGTGAACATTTCGTGCCTCTAAACGTCCAGTAATGTCGAAGCTTTGCACATAGTCTCGCATGTCCAGTGTCTTGGCGAGAGGACCTGACATTGCAGTCCATGCTGGAAAATTTGTCTCAATATCTACCGTGGCCATCGTTGGCCTGTCTAGCGTTAGGTGGTTTAGCACATCTTCAGCTGCATTGTAATTGCGCTTCAGCTGCTGGGGATTAAGCTGATAATGCGGAAGTTCCAGTAGTTCTGCTGCGGCGTGAACTCGGGATTTGA